AAGAACGCACAGTCGTCTGGCACAGACCAGATAGTTAAACTAATACAGTCGTATAAGACTGTAATTTACTACCCTTTGTCAATACACTGTTGGTTTAGGCCGTACCTTGTCAGTTGTGCGGTTTTATGATCATGCTTCGTCAAGCTAATTGGTCCCACCTAATACTTGCAAACTATATACTCTTTGGTTCTTTCGGAAAACTCACATATACTAGCTCCCGTTGTTTCTTTTTTTCCCGCCTGAGGACGATCGCATGTGTTGCAATCGAAACGTCGTGATCTTTTATTATTTTTTCGATCTACGTGACTTTACCGACAGAACCAAAGAGTATGGATTCCTGCGGTCACGAAAGCTTCAAATAAAAATTCTACTCGCAAAATCTTTGACTGGGGACTATTGTCGGTTTGTTACCGTATAGCCACTTCTTTGATAACCCACACACAGACAAGGCGCTTTCCAATAGTGGTTACCCTATGAATATACTGCCTCCCGTTGTAGAAATGTGGAATTTCCACATTGTTCCCATGCTCGTTTGAGTCTCGGTGCGTCTACTTGTGCCTCCAACGTAATTTCCCTCCGCCAACCACATCGCACGCTGCCCCACACACACAAAGACGCGAACTAAAGATCCCCCGTATAGACTTACGAGACCTTTGGGGCAAGTGCTGTTTGTGAGCACCTATGAAGGCCGCCTCTGCACATGATGGGGTGGGTAGCCAGCACCACGCCCGGCCACCTTCCCCCCCCCCCAGTGGAAATGTTTACACACCGCACCAGGTATTTAAGGTTGAGTCGACCTAGGGGAGACCCAGGACCCGGACCTGTTCAGATATTCACCACCAATGTTGTGGCCGTGAATGCGCTACTGCCCGTCACAGTACACAATTGCATCAGTTTTATCCATATTAACACCCATGGGTGGGGGGGGGTGCAGTGAAAGGATGGTGAGAAAACTCTCGTAAAGATGACCCAATAGGAACGAACCTTTAGTTAAAATTTGGGTTGATAGGGAGTTGTGCTCTGACAAACCGGGAAAATTGATGAAAGTGTTCGGCCATAGCTATCCCGTCAGGCGTTAATAATGATTTTTTTTTCTTCTGAAGACAAATTAACCTTATGGCGGGACCCCGGGGTCCCATTAGCCCCCGGCTCTCGCATAAGCATTATATTATAATGTTAACAAAAACTTTTCTCTTCATCACCAATGGGTTTGAAGGATGGTGGCAAGTGTTGTCTTGTTAAACTATGCCTTTGAAACGGAAAACTACTTACCTGCAGTACTTCTATTTAAATACACTATCGAAAAAATAATTTACACCCCTCTGTCAATCATCGTGTTTCTCAGTGTGGATTTGTTAACACACTTTGTAAACAGTACATAAAATAGTGCGCGTTTTCAATGCGCTGTTCATATTGTAACAAGCGTTTATACCAATGTTACTCTACAGAGTAGTGGGTCGCCGCTCCTCTTATCGGATTTGATACGAGCGGTATTTGGGGACGATGGCTTAACCGCAAAAAAACCTGTCTGCACAGATGCATACGGACAAGAGACTTATTATAAAAAACAGGAGGAATTAACGGTGCAACGCATCTCATCTGTTAAATATCTGCAGGTAATAGGATTATCATCTATTGATCCTGTAGCTGCAGACATTGGTAGGTCACAAATAATAATGAAGATAAGAGAGCAGTTTCACTGTATTATGCATCCCGCTATGACAAATAAAGGACTTGAATCGTGTAGGCAGTATGAGCAGCTTTGGATAAGACTTATGATCCTGCCCATACCCGAGCGTGGAGTGCATTCGTTTGTTCAGCTCTTCTGCGCATTCGTCCTCGCTGCTGCGCTTGGACATAACGTGACAACAGAACGGTCCGTGCCAGGTGGGTTGTGGCGTTTATGTGCGTGTGACGGAGACCCCAAAAAGAAATTAATTAATTGCTTTATTTTATTATGGGGTCCCGCCATAAGGTTCGAATGCAGAAGGGGAATGCATTACGTAGCCCTTGGGTGTGCCTCATTTTCTGAACCTGTTCAGAATGACTCGTGTTCTTATGCAATGTCAGGTTATTATTCTGTGGCATTGGTGAATGGGCCACGCGCTGCTGCTGATGCTTCAAAAACATTGAAATCAAACAGCGTTCATCGCCCGTTCGCACCATCACCGTCCTCTTCATGAATCGGCGATTCGTAATCATCGTCGTCATCACTTCCGTTTCAATCCACAGAATACGTTTTAATCTGGCAGCATGAATATTTACATGCATAATTACACAACCACAAAATAGTTGCCTGTTACATAATGTCTCAGGAGCTATAAATATACGGTAGGACCCCTCTTAACAACCACCCCTGTTCACGATTCATCGCCTAACGACGGGCCCCCATAGAGCCCAATGTGTAGTGTATTGTAGTGTATAGTGTAGTGTATTGTAGTGGAGTGCCTCCATAGAGCCCAATGTGTTCGGCTTACCGACCATTCCCCAGTTAACGACGGGCTGTTGTAGGACAAGTAAATATTAATTAATGCATTGATTATAACCACGTTTCTTTTAATAGTAGGTCTTAAAAATTTTAGTATTTTAATGTATTGATATTCATTGTTTCGATATTATAAAGTACGTATTTTGGGTGAAAAAGGATAACTTTCTATGCTATCAATTACCGTCGTTAAGAGGGGTTCTACGTACTGCTTCCTGTGGTCGTTGCCTGGCGCTGGATTGGAGTTGGCGTGAGATTTGAACTGAATTGGGGTTTTTTTTCGTGCCAACACTCGCTTTTGTTACGCAACGATGCTACACCACGGCCGCATTGGCTTCCCTCCCTGTTGCTACATTGGTGCCGCACATTGTTTGGCCGTCCCCTCCCATAACACCGTGGCATTATCATCATCATTTATCTTTGTCGTCGGCGATGATCAATTCTTTGTTGGATGAAATTCCTCCCCTTGCCGCCACCACCCTTTCGCGGCACTGTGATGCAACAATCCATCGAGCAGCTGCAAGCGAGCCGATCTCATCCGTTCCATTCTGTGGTAGCTATCCTCACACCTGTTCCCCTTATTTGGCTGTGAACTCCGTCATTGGTCTCGATCAAGTCATCCCTTCTCGACACCGTGTCCTGTCCTCGTCACTTGTTGTATTCGTTGATAGGATGTCTCTACTTTGCGATTGTTCGCTGTTCCATGTTTTCCTTTGTCAGTCCCTTAGCGTAATTCCATGCAAGCATCTGTCCATACAAATTTGTGGATTTCCTGATTTTGTTCCGTTTTTCATTGTCATTGCCCACGTTTCTGAGCTCTGCTGTGACCCCCCCCCCCACTCCGAGCCACATCCCATAAAAAAAAAATCTAACTCATAAGATGATACAATTTCTATTTATATGACGTCCAAATGCGACCACATTTCTTGACGCTGTACAGACGAGGTGGGCATATTTTGAACGTATCACCTCTCCTTCCATCATCGCTGGGTCAGAAGCCTGGAATTTCCAACAAACAGCATTGTGGGGGCACCTTCGCTCACCACATGGGGCCACAGCAGCTTAGCACAACTGCCAAAAGAAGAAGAAAACGTATTTACAAAAGAGAGAAAGAAGCAGTCAATCATACACGGGGAAAAAGGAAAATGTTTTGAACCTGGACTTCAACACGGGCAGCGATTCGACAGCAGAGTCAGCTGGTGGGGAAGAAAATTCCGGGCTCTGGGGCCAGCAGAGGAGATTGAGCAATCTTATAATACATTTACTAGTTTTGTGTTCTTATGTTATATAAGGTGAATGATGAGGGCACCTTTCGATCAACAAATAATGCTGATAATAATGATGATTAATTCTAAATTGCACTAGAAACCGGTAAAGTTTCTGTTTCTGGCAACCAGTAAAATGTATCACATGGTTCTGTGAAATGTTCATTTCGTCTACATTTTGTATACGTTTCGCTCCCTTAATCAGATACAAACTGGTTCCTAACAGCTGACATTTCGGCTTTCACCAGAAACATGACCACAGGCTTGCTTGGGTGTGTACACGCCAATTCACTTGTTTGTGCTCAGTTTAAATCTTGATTTAGAGCTTTCGTGACTGCAGGAATTCATATTATTGGGTCTTTCGGTAAAGTCACGTAGATAGGTTCAAAGAAAATGACAAAAAATAACAAACAACGAAGTTTCGATTGCAACACAAGCGTTCGTTATTTTCTTGGAACCTATCTACATAACTTTACCGAAAGACCCAAGAATATGTACTAGGTTTGTCACGATATGGAGACACTTGGAGCTATCACGATAATATATAAAGACCACGATCATTTGCACCATCAACTTTGTAAAATATTGTCATCTTGTGATCAAAATTATTATTTTTGTGCCAAAATTTTGTGGAGTAAGACAGTGATTAAAGTTCTAAATAGACGTAATTTACCAATAAGATTTGAGCTTTGCAAAGTTTTTTTCTGGAACAATTTACAGCCTGGTCATCATGTTGTAAGTACAGTATTGAATATTTGTTGTGTTACTGGCAGCATGTGCTTATGTAATAACCACGGTGGGTTGTAAAGTTGCAACGATTAGAAGGCCATCGGCAGGCATGTGAGTGAACTGCAGTTGAAGAACTCATAAGTAAATCGTTATTCCTACTGGAAGCATACATAGCAAAGCACATAAACTATACGATAAAATGAAATATGCAATTTCAAAGTTACGGGAAACTGATATGATAATTGTCGTATCGTGAACATGTTTGTCGCATTCCTGTTGTTAAATATGATATCGCGGCAACCCTGGTCTACACTTGTGTGTGTAGTGTGTGTGAACGCACGCGTGGTTACGCAGGTATACACACGCGCGCGTGTTTAGCCCCGTGATGTCCTTATGCCTGTGTGTGCATCTGTGTGTGTGTGCGTGCGTGCATCCGTGTACGTGGGTGTGCGCGTGCGTGTGTGTGCGTGTGTGTGTGCGTGGGTGTGCGCGTGCGTGTGTGTGCGTGTGTGTCCGTGCAGGCGATTGCTGGCTGCTCGCTGCCATCGCCTCGCTCACGCTCAGCGAGAAGCTCATGGCGCGCGTGGTCCCCGTGGGCCAAACCTTCGAGGATGCCTACGCCGGCATCTTCCACTTCCAGGTGACGCCGCTGTTTGTGCCGCAACCTTCCCCCTCAGGGCTCCAGCGGAGAGAATAGCGTGTTTTTATTTATTTAACAAAAAATTCCACACTCATGTCGAACACATGGGATGACAACAATCAGTATTTTTGGAATGTACGCATATTATTTTAGAACGTTTTAGAAGGTTCCAAAGAGTCAAACCGAGTGGGGAAAAAAAATATTCCATTTCATTTTTCGTTCCAAAGATGTCTGCAATTACTCTGCAATTCCACCATTGGGACCTCATTTGCACCATCCATATCAGAGTTATGTTTTTTGTTTGCATTACGACTGCAGGTATTGTGGTCTATGCAAACATGACTCCTTGTAAAAAAGGTGTCAGTTTTGTTGCCAGATAAAAGGGTAAAAAAAACAATGATCATACTCTGCAATTGTTGTTTCATTCCAATAATTTCAGTTCCAGGACAATGTTTAGTTTTGTTTTCCATTCCATTCACCATCACTGGTATTGCTGTCATTTGTATAGTATAGCCTTCTCATCAGTCGAGTCAGGCGAGTGTTTAAATCAATACATTTTTACATACAGAGCCGAAATGAATTGAGCACGTGTGTCAGTCGTTTGCTGTGGTTGGCACGTGCCCAGGTTTCACGGAATAATATGGGGCCCTCTGTCTGCCTCTCGCCGTCATCGCTGCCCAGTGACTGGGCTCCTCCAGTATCGTTGCACCGCCTGAACAAGAGATGGCTACGCCACTGAACCTCTGCCTAGTTCCATATCTCGATGTTTGTACTGAGCGGCAGATCATCGCAATATGGCCCCATGAGGTAATGATGACACGGGGCATCTGTTGCTCATGTTGTGCAAGATGGAACTCGCCAGAGGGAAGGCGGCCTGATGTGGGTCATCTTGACCTTGTGCCAGGCTACAGCGGTGTTTACTACGTCATGCGTGGAACATTCACCTTCGTTTAGGGATTTGTGATTACCTGTACTCGCCTGCGCGGTGTGAATTATGCATGGGTATGGGGGATCGTGCAGTGGCACGAATGACTCACCCTGAGGTTGTCCGTCATCAGGTCAGCTTGTTTGTAGCGTGGCATGCAAAACCGCTGTGCCACCACCGCTCCCGCCCCAATTAAGATGTTGTAGCTTCGTGCGATATGTATCAGACGATCGTAAGAAACCCTGGGGCTTCACTGGATAAATGACTGCACATACCGTCGGCATACTTTATACATTATGCACGAAAAAATATTTATCTCATGTTTCATTTCAAAGATCTCGATTTGCATTTTAACAGGATTGGCGAACCTTTCCGCTAATGAGGGCTGAATAGGACTTTCCAATACCTTTAGCGGCCCACACACGTGGCTTAGCATCATCCATAACAATAACAATGTGAAAAATAATTAGGGTTCACTTTTCCCACGCCTGCGATTCTCTCACTAATGCGCTGATGAAGGAGTTTCGAAGTAGACACACGCAACTAAGATGCTTGCAGGAATGGAAAATTATCAGTTTAATATGTAGTAAGGCTTTCGCAACCAATATTATTCATAATGGAGGTTTTTTTGTGTTAGATCACGTAAATATAAATGTGTTGTTAAACCCGCCACCACCCGACACAGCCAATTAGTAAGGTTTGTCACTTAAACAAAACCTGCCAATTCGTTACTAGTACAGCACACCAGAGTCACTAGTACAGCACACCAGTGTGCTGTACTAGTGACTTGTGGCTGTGTCAGGTGGTGGCAGGTTCAACGACACATTTATATTTACGCAATCTAACCGAAGAAACCTCACGTGGCCATGGGTCATTGGTGCATTTTCTCGAAATTTGTGAAAAATTGCTCGTAAATTCCCCCTAGGTTTAGTAAGGACGCCCCTGCCATGCATAGTCCCATGGGATGTTGGCTACCAACAACAAGGCAACTCCTATGACTAATTGGGAATGGGACGCAAGCGTAGGATTGATCACCCTGTCGCTGGCCGCCTTTGGGGAGGGTGTATAGTATGAAAGGCCGAAACACCCTAGGAACCAAAGGGTCACTACTGACGATGCGCTCCCCAAATTTCACCAGGCTCACTGTTCATGAACTCTTGGAAGTGCTTGCACAAAGGATAGTAACATCTCATCCTGTGTTCTTTGGAATCACAACACAAGTTACTGGCCTACTGTCCATGGGATTCCCAGCTATGCTGTGAAGGAAGGAGGGGACAAAGCTGAAGGGTGAGCAGGGAGCTGTGGGACAAGTTGAGGAGAGACCAGCAGTGGAGTAAGAATGGAGTAAAGGCCTCTGGGCAGGGAGGCAGGCAGTCCGAGGCGGAGGTGTAGAGGGAGGTTGCGAGTCTGGACTGGAAAGCGGCGATGGAGCCGGCAATGCAGGCAAACAGGCGAGGGAGGGAGTTCCGGTACATGCAGTGCCCTAGATAGGAACGTCCGACTTGCGAGCAACCACACTCACGAACGAACCGCCGCAAGATGTTGGTATTATTTTTAACCAGCCGACTTGCAAACGTTCGTTCGTACTTACGAACCAAACCGCGGAGCTATTTTGTCGGGCTGAGTGATCCTCCGTGAGATGCAATGAGTCCCAGCACCGCGTCCAACAAGCAAGCCAGCATCAAGGGCTCATTGTAAGTGAAAATAAAACAGATTTTTTTCTTCATGTTACAGTTATTTATTACAGTATTACATTAATATGTACAATATTTCCTGTCATTTATTAGTTTAACAATGCTTCCCTTTTTTTGGTGAACCATGACACATTTTACAACACTGACCGTATGTACAATTAAATGTTGAATTCCAAAATACGGCCAAATCAACTTACGAACGGGTCTCCGGAACGTAACCCGTTCGTTTGTAAGTCGAGGACTGCCCGTAAGGGAGAAGGAGGAACGGCCCATTGAGCACCGCTGCACTGGTGGAGTCTAGGACGTTTGGCTAGGTAAGGTGCGAAAGAAGTTCAACGTAACCTACATACATACAAGGGACTTGCATGCGTGGTGGGAGAGTGCGACTTGAATTTGAGTGCAGGGTGTACGTGCAGGATGGGTTCGAGGACTGGGAGTGTATTTATGTGCGTGCTTATGTGTGTGTATGTGGGGATCTCTGTTATTATGGTGTTTGTACGTGTGTGTTTATGTGTACGCGGTGTGGTGCACAGTGCACTTAACACTGTGCTACTTGCTGCTAGAGTTACATTCCTGGCCACGGCTACCATCAGTGGTGATTTTCCGAACCATTCCTGGCCTCCCCAAGGTCGACTCAGCCTCAAATGAGTACCTGGTGTGGTGTGTAAACGTCGAGACAAAGGCGGCCAGGCATGATGCTGGCCACCCACCCTCTCGTGTGCCGTGCCGGCCTTCATATGTGCTTCTCGCTAACAGCACTTGCCCCAACAGTCTGTTAAGGCTATACTGGGTATCTTTATCTCTTTTTGTGTGTATGTATATATATCCTCTGTGTGTGTGTGTGTCCATGAATGTGTGCATATTTGTGTGTGTGTATGTGTAGGAATGTGTGGTTTGGTGGAGGTTGCCCTGGGGGAGGGGGTTTGAAGGGGTGAGTTGGGGGGGGGCAGGACGCAACAAAAATGGAGTCGTGTTGGAGTTGAGTCAGATTTACATTTTGCGCCGGCTTAAGAAAACCCTACCCAGAACAGATAAATAAAAAGCAACTCTTGCTGATAACGCTGGGAGTGACGAATCCCTCTATTTAAACCCCAGTGTTATGCTCATGGTACTTGTGTAAATCGTCTGCGTGCGCAAATTATCGAGAGCGCTGAGCGGGTACTGGCAGCGACATCCTGGGTTAGAATTTAAGCAGCTGCTCGTGACTACATCAGCTGCGTAGCGAGGTTTTTGCCAATCTCAGCGTGGTCAACCAATGGCTGCAGTTTGTTTTTGCACCTTAATGGTGAGAATTTCAGTTCCGAGAATTACAAATTTCAGTTTTGATCGTCACGCGACAATCCCGCAGCAGAGCGTATGTATGAGTGCGACACCTCCTGATTTTGGGGAGGTGACAACCGTGGAAGATCTCTTCTGTGCACCGTTCGCTGACATTCGGGGCGCACTGCACTGGCACTGTGCGATCGTCCTCGTGGTTTCGTTGTCTCGTTGTCTCGTTGCGTGATGGCCATAGCACATTTGAAAGTGAATTGGAGGGAAATGTACAAACGAGAAAATATTCTGCATTTCAATCGGCATGCATATGAGATCGGGTCTGAAAAATGGTTGTCTGCAAGGTGTTAACAGGAATATTTGGTATTTAAATGGTAACATGCTGCTAGCTATGCTTCAATAATTAGCTATGGTTCAATAATTATATTCTGCACGAGACTTTCACTGAGGCATGTTAGGCTGTGGCTGAGAGTCAGAGCAATGTGCCTCTCAAATAAGCATTGAATCATTGGTGCGCATCTCTTATTGACGGCCCTGAGCCAGTGGTGGATATTCCGCATTCCTATGAGGGGGGCGAGTCTGTCCATAGCACTCCTACTCTTGATTTCTTCACAAAGCGGTACATATTTTATTGTCCACAGCGGGCTGATGGAATGGGCCACCTGGTCGTGGGTAGCAATGGTGAACGTCGTATGCCACTCAAATGAGAATGGGCCAGCACTTGCCTCTTGTTTGCAGCCCTGAAGCGAGTGGTGGAAATTCCATTTTACTGGCCGTGACCAAGTCTTTCCAGTGTTAAAATGGTGATCAGAAAATTACAACTGTTACGTGGAGTCTGATTACAGTGTCAACCTACTTTTCTTTTGGCTCTAGCGACCAAATCACTCTTAACGCGCCCAATCTTGCCCGATCCCAGAAGGCCAAGCAGGGAGGGTTCACATTGATTAGTACGAAGGTAGGGGACTACCTGGGCATACCAGGTGTCGTAAGCTTGGTCTGTGAAGTGGCCATGAGATTGCACATTTGAGCAACGGATTCTCGAATCTGTATGCGCTGGAGATTCAACGGTCGTCTCGTGATGTGTGTGTGTGTGTGTGCGCGTGTCGTGGCCGTGCGCTGCAGTTCTGGCAGTTCGGGGAATGGGTGGACGTGGTCATCGACGACCGCCTGCCCGTGAAGAATGGCGAGCTCGTGTTCGTCCACTCGGCCGAGGGCAACGAGTTCTGGAGCGCCCTGCTTGAGAAGGCCTACGCCAAGTGAGTCCGTCCGGCGACAACGTTTGGCTATCGCCTCATCATGCGACAACGCTGGCTGTCACCTGATGAGACTTGTTGTAATTACCGGTGAAACGTCATACTCGAATGTAAATGGTTGTGGGTTTACTGTCCAACACACCCGTGTGCTGAACTAGTAACTAATTTGCACGTTTTGTTTACATGACACCTTACTAACTGGCTGTGTTGGGTGGTGGAGGGTTTAACGAAACATTTATATTTACGTGATTTAACCCAAAAAAACTCTGATTAGTCCGTCCGTCTGTCCATCCGTGAGGTCACCCATGGATCAATCCACTCATACGTCCATCAGTCTGTCATTGATTCCAATTGTGTGATCTTCCAGCTGTTGGAACAGATGTAGATCTGTCAGGTCACCAGTTTATTAATCCTAGAATCCTAACGGTGATTTTGTCCATCTGCCCAATCATCCATTCGTCCATGTGTATTTTCATTTTTCTGTCCCTCTCCCAATCAATTTGTACAATCATGTATCTACTCATCCATCCATACAGCCGTTTGTTTATCAGTTTGTCATCCTTCAGTCCATCCATTTTTCGCTTCACCTGTCCCTTTGTCCGCCCATCCATCCATTCAACCATTTGTTTATTCGTCTATCTATCCATTTGACCATTGCTCCGTGCGTCCATTGGTCCATTATGCATGCATCGCACAAACAGTCTCTTATGTACAAACCGAGGCGTGTGCGTCGTGCGAGTGATGAATAAATGCGGCTGTGTCAAGCAACGCGGCCTTGAGCAGCGCCTTTGTGCGTGTGGGAGCGTGAGAACTGACGTGAGTGTGAGCTCTGTATGCGTGCATGTACACGTGTGTGTGTGTGTGTGTGTTTCGTTTGGAGCATTAGCGCAGTGAGTTAGCCTAGCGCACTGTGCTACGAAACCGGCAACGGATAATATCCACAGCGATTATCCCCTAGCAAGGCTTGGTAATGTCATCAGCATTACCAGCCACGTCACGATGAGCGTGGCTTATTGGAGGTTTCCCACTTTTTTTTGTCAATTATTTTTATTTATCCAACCACGGGGGGTGGGGGTGTACAACTTTCGCGACAGGAGAGTGGTGCATAGCGGGATAGGCGGCTCATTAGGACGTGTATGACCGTAGCATTATGTGGTACGTGCGTCAGATCCCTTTTCTTCGGGGAAGAAAGGGGGGAAGAGGGGGAAGGGGGTGGGAGTCAGTCTCATTTCAAGTTCAATCAAGTAAACTCAGGGTGTATGGAGTCGCATTCACGAGGGGGCCCCAGATTTGGGTGAACTCCCCTTCCCAATTCCTCAGTTTCAGACGCGGGTGTTTTAAAGCTGCTCGGGCGATTAGGGAGTTATGCCAGAGTGTGAATGGGGGGGCCCTATGATTCTTACAGGAGCTCAGGATGGACTTTCTAACCGAAATGTTAAATGCTTGGAGAACGGTGTGTTGGTGCCTGGTTGATACCTTGGAGTTTAAGGCCCAGGAGAGAGGATTCAATGCTAGGTAGTATATACGTGCCAGACATCACGTTGTACAGATCGGTTATTTTATCATAGAATGACCCGATGGTGGGACAGGGGTTTCCCGCTTTCTAGAAGCAGGATGTTGATCCAGGGCTGCCATATTTAAAGGGCCCAGAATAATCGGCCACAAAGATAATGGTCGATTGTTAGAGCTGTGTTCCTATCAACGATGTCTGGACCGTGCCCCCCAACTTCCCCCCGCCCCGACCCCCTCCCACCAAGGCTGCACGGCTCCTACGAGGCCCTGTCTGGGGGCAGCACCACGGAGGGGTTTGAGGACTTCACGGGGGGTGTGGCGGAGAGCATCGAGCTCAGCAAGCCCCCGAGCAACCTCTGGAGGATGCTGCAGCAGGCGACGCTGCGCGGCTCGCTCATGGGCTGCTCCATCAACGTAACGGCGGCGCACGCACGGACGCGCGAGTGGACACGCGCGACCTCGCACGCTGATATACAAAGACAAAGATCCCCTGTATAGCCATAGCAGACTGTTGGGGCAAGTGCTGCTAGCGAGCACTTGTGAAAAGCTACGCTGACACAAACGCACACGCACATGCAATGGCACGCCCACTCAGAATTGTCCTTCCCCCGCACCTCCGATTAAGCATGGTTGGCTACGTACGGTGCGAAAGAAGTTCAACATACATACACAGACTCGGTTGGTGCTGGCTTCACCGCCTGGCTGCCTTCCTGCTTGTCTGGTTTGTCAGTGATTGTGAGGTGTAACTATGATGCACAAAACTTAACATTATACAGTACACAGATGCACTGACTCGCGCATGCACACTTGCACCTACGCTGCACAGGAGCTAGATGCAATGTTACATCACCACAAGCATGAGAGATAGCGACAGCCTTGGAAAAGCCTTTATCCAGCAGTGGATAGTTAATGGCTGCTGCTAATGATGATGGTGGTGGTGTGCGTGTGTGTGCGCTACGCGCACGCGTGTATTGAACAGATCACGAACCAGGCGGACTCGGAGGCGATCACCTCCCGCAAGCTCGTCAAGGGGCATGCGTACTCCCTGACCGGCACGACGGAGGTAAGCCCAAACGTGCTCGTATCCACGTGTCCACGTGTGTCGATTCGTCGCATCTAAACGTCTATTCCTACGCTCGCAATACACCCACCGATTTGTGCGACCGAGGATCGACAGTGTCCTTTATTCATTTACGTCGTTATACGTCTTTGGATTGGGTTGATTCCTGCGGATTTTGTGAGGGACTGACATTCACCACCGTGGCAATATAAATACGTGTTCGTTGAATCGCATCGCGACTGGAAATTGCGACGAATCGTTGAATCACAAGCGGGATGAATTGTACTCTATTGGGCGTGCATACTTGTCAATATCATCATCATCATGATTTAATATTCATACCGCGCATCCCATGCAAATCATCTCAAGGCGCCAGAACAAAGGGGGGCATTGGGGATTACTCAGGAAATACATTATTTCAGACCAAATACCAGGTGCCACCACTCCCCATGATGTGCACGCATGTATGCGTGCGTGTGTGTACACGCTTGAATATACGTGCGAGTGCACGCTGGCACCGACGCCCGTCTGAGCTCCGTGTTGCACTCCAGGTCGACTACCAGGGCCAGATGGTGCGGCTGGTGCGAATCCGCAACCCCTGGGGCCAGGTGGAGTGGACCGGAGCCTGGAGCGATAAGTGAGGCTCCCTCGCTCGCCCCCCGCTCCTCATCTCTAACCCTAACTCAGCCACACTCTCCATCCCTAACCCCAACTCATCCCCAGTGTCCATCTCTAACCCTAACTCTAACCCTCCCGATTCCAATTCTCTAACCCTAACTCTATGCCCCATCCCCGCTCCTTCTCAAATAACAAACACAACAACAACAGCCACCATTGGCCACTAAGTGGCAGTGATGTCACCACAGTGCTTGCAATACATACACACATACGCACAGCTACACACATAAACCCATGCACACACACACGCATAGTTGCGTAAAATTTAACTCCCGGGCTTACTCGTTGCTAAAATGTAATGTCGCTTCACTCAAATGGTTTTCCAACAAAAGGAGTCGGATTTCTGCTGATTTAACAAGACCCTGGCAGGTGTGTACCTCCTGCACCGAATTGAGCCACGTTGGCAAGTGAATGTTCATCTGAAAGTGGCTCTAACAATGTATTTAATTGCACGTACTTGTGTGTATGTACAGCACATAGACAACGCATGCAGCAGGTTGGCACATGAAGGAGCACAGGGGGTATAACCTGCCAGTCATCTCGGCCGATTAACTCATAATAACCTTGCCCCGTCAAATAGTCTCCTGCTAGCGAGCCCTTTTCTACTTCGTGTGGCTTCAGGGTGCGTCTAACTTGGCACAAGCGCTGCGGTGATATCACCGCCATTTAGTGGCGAATGGCGGCCGTCGTTGTTGTTGGTGTTTGTACGTATGTGTGTGTGTGTACGTGCTCGTGTTGGTTTGCATGCCCGCGTGCGTGCGTGCGTGCGCCCGTGTGCTCACGCGCGTTTTGCGTGTCCGCGTTTTGCAGCGCGCCCCAGTGGGGTTACGTGAGCGACGAGGACAGGGGCCGCCTGCAGGTCAGCCAGGAGGACGGAGAGTTCTGGTAAGAGTCCAACTTTGTAATTGGGAAAAACTTGATAAGCCACAAATCTCGCTGTCCGGAAAGTAATCGGCTATCGTTGAGAGTAGCCGCATTACGTTAAGTTCATTGTGCGGCCATTTGTGGGGCGATGAAACGCAAAAAATAAAAAAACGTCGCCAACGTTGGATTGTGAAGCGTTACGTAGCGCCTCGCGCACAAATGATACGAACCTCCCCCCGCACCCCCAGGATGTCCTTCGATGACTTCCTGCGCCAGTTCTCGCGTCTGGAGATCTGTAACCTGACCCCGGACGCGCTGGAAGACGACTCACTGGGCCACTGGAGCGCCACCAACTTCGAGGGCAGCTGGGTGCGTGGGTGCAGCGCCGGTGGCTGCCGCAACTTCATCGGTGAGCGCTGGCGTCGCGGGCGTACACGCATCCTGGGTGCACGCGCGGTGTGGCACGGCGTGGCGCGGTGTGGCACGGCGTGGCGCGGCGCGGCGTGGCGCGGCGTGGCGCGGCGTGGCGCGGCGTGGCCCGGTGTGGCGCGGCGTGGCGCGGTGTGGCGCGGCGTGGCGCGGTGTGGCGCGGCGTGGCGCGGCGTGGCGCGGTGTGGCACGGCGTGGCACGGTGTGGCGCGGTGTGGCGCGGTGTGGCACGGCGCGGCGTGACCAGCGTGCGGGCAAGCGGCGTCGCTTTAATTGCAGTGCATCGTTGCGGTTTGCGAGATGTTAACAACCTCACCTGGTATGGAGGAGGTTGTGGGTTCGATCCCGATGCTGATGCCTACTGCATATTTTGAGTTTGCGTGTTTCTCTGTCCGTGGTCGTGTGGATTTTTCTCCGGGTCCTCCAGTTTTTCCCTCCACATTTAGAAACATGCATGGTCTAACACCGTTTTTAGACTAGGCTCAAAAGAAAGCTGTCTCTGGTGTGGACCAATCCAAGGCTGTCGCTATCTCTCATTGTGCATTGTGATGTAACATTGCATCTAGCTCCTGCACAGCGTAGGTGTAAGTGTGCATGCGCGAGTCAATGCATCTGTGTATAATGTTAAGTTTTATGCATCATAGTTACACCTCACAATCACTGACAAAAAAATGCATATATCAGAGTATGGTTTTTGTTTGCATTCTGACCACGAGTATTGTGGTTAATGCAGATATGATTCCTTGTTAAAGGTTTAAGTTCAGAAAAAAGGGGAAAACCTATTTTCATATTTTGGTACTGGCAAAGGAGGTCCCTTGATGCATTTAGAGTATTTGGCTCCTATAAATTTCCACTTGATAAGCGACTTTGTTGAGCGATCATTTGTGGCCAGGTCACTTCTGAAAAAGAGCTATATAGCTAAGTGGGCCTTACCTGGTAAAATAAAAATAGTTTAGTTTACTTTGTTTATCTACCACATTGGGACGTTTGACTGGCTCATTTTAATAGGAACAATAATAATTCACATGGCGTCGTTCACGGAAATTTCATCTCAAACACACTGAACGTCACAAACCTCCTACGTCAGCAGTTCCCCTGCTGTGCTTGTTTCACCTGATAACGGTTGCTTGTGTTGCTATCGAAACGCCGTGATCTATGAATTTTCTATCTACGTGACTTTAACGAAAGAACCAAAGAGTATCACAAACCACATGAAGATCAAACATTGGTGTGAGAACGGCACAGAGACGCAACACGATCAAGGGGGGCGGTGAACGCAACACAATCCAGTTGAGGCAACAGTTAACTCTTAAGCTCTTGACATCAGCGAAAGTCCACAGGATGATAACAACAACAAACACAATGCAATAGTTTGATCCAACACAGCATCATCCATGCAAGAAGCAGTCCAGAATGCGGAACATCCGAACAGCCCCGCTGAGTCTCAGAACTCGTTTATCAGGCGGTTTCGTGCTACATTGGGACATTTGGCCAATTCGGTTTCGTAACAGTCAATACCCTTCGTTTACCCTTGGATGTGTAGCCGGCTTACATAGGCAAATGAATGAGCCAGAGTTGTCGCAAGAACCTCTTAGGTGGAATTCATTCCTCAGGGCTGCCACAAAGGCCCTGTCCCGTCCCACCACTTATGTCATTGTTAAAATAATAATATAAATGGTGTCCTTTATTTACCCAAGACCCTTTCACGTGATTCCCTTTGGTGATTATTTGAACCATTACCGGGCCCCTGCCTCTGGGTTGACGCATGCTTAAGGAGTTGGTGCTGCGTGTAAATATCAACACCTGGGGAGGCAATGACGGCCGGGCATGGTGCTTGCCACACACCCACCCGCTTTGTTCGCCGTGCTAACAAAGATACCCCATCGCAGCCTACACAATGACATACGTAGGCTATATTGGGGCCCTTTGGCTTTGCTTTGTGTAGGTGTGTGTACGAGTGGGGTGGTTGGGTGTGCGTGCATGCTTGCGTGAGAGATAGAAACTGGATCTTGTTGGACTCGGGTGATGTGTTTTTAAAACGGATCGTGTTTGTTTTCCTAATGAACTCCGCACACTTTTTAGTGACCTCTCGTTTACTTCTCTCTGCACATTACACTGGAGCAGGTTTTTTTGTTTGTTTATAAATCTTGTGCAATTTTACAAATGATAAGAAAACTAGCATTGAAAATGTTTCTACGCTTGCTATGACCGCGAAAAGAAGTTTGGAACAGAACTTAAACGTTTGGGTTTGGCCTAGCTCTATTTTTATGTGTGTATGTTGAAATTATTTTGCACCGTACGTAGCCAACTCTGCTAATCGTGGGTGCGGGGAAGGACAACAAACTAAACACAAAAAGCAGTTCCAGTGAAATGAGCTGTCTCGTCTAATTTTAACAACAACACTCAATTCCAAAGCTCCTAAGTGGCCCAGGTTGAAATTAAGCCACGGCCTCCATGAACAGCAAGCAATGCATTACATAGAATACAATAACTAAAATAATCACCACCAGGATCAATCCACTGCTGGATGAATGCCTTGCCAAGCCACCCACACGATGCTGCAGTATAATCATACTCTTCGCAGCTGCACACGAGCCAATTTATTAATAATCACATAATCGTGATTTAAAAAATTTGTCAGTGTAGTGAGTCACGTGGGTGAGTCACGAGGGTTCTGTTCTGCTTCATCACGCTGGCCGGTGTGTGGGTTGGGGACGAGTGCGCGTGTCTGTGTGAGACAGCCTCGCACGCACACTCGCACGGTTGATACACAAAGACAAAGCTTCCCTGTATAAGCCTCGACCAGGCTCTTGGGGCAAGTACCGTTAGCAAGCACCTCCGAACGCCAGAGCTGTGGACATGGGGTAGTGGGGCCTGAAACCAGGCCACTGTCTTCCTCGTGCTGATGCTGCTTTTGCACACAACACAAGCTACTAATTTTAAGCTGAGTTGACTTTGGGGAGGCCCAGGTCCGGTATGGATAGTACTCACCACTGATGTTAGCCGTGGCCGGGATTATAGCGTGGCACTTTAGCCACTGTGCCACCACTGCAAGCCATATCAACATTTACATGTGTTTTTGTTGATGTATATAAATACCAATGAGGAATTATCTGGAATGCCTCTCGACTTTATTATGATCTCCCAACTTCCCCGAGGTTGTAATTTTTGGCAGAAGCTTTATTTTTCTTTCCATTCACTTTCACCATGTGACCAGGAATTCCATTGTTAAAGAACCCTACTCCACTGCATGTGTCAAATGTGCCCTCAGTCGTACCGTGCGCGCCCTGCGTGGTTGGGGATTGGTGGCGACCCGGCACTGATGTCAGCCGAAACAAAGTCGCGATGTCACAAACAACAATAATTCAGCACATTCGTCAACAACGCCGCCTTCATCTACGCGCCGCGATGAAGGGCGCACGTGTGTGTGCGCTATGTGCGTGGAAAACGATGCCGACCTTGGTTCGGCTCATATCAGAACTGGTCCTGAGCCTCCCCTACGTTGACTTGGCATTAAAAGATTACCTGGTTGCAGTGTGTGAACATCGGCACTAGCGAGACAACGGTGGCTGGGCGTCGTGCTGGTCACACCACCCCCTCGAGCGCCGTGTCTGCCTCAATAGGGGCCCGCGGGCGGCACTTGCCCCAACAGGCCTCTAAAGGCTACACGGTGGATCTTTGTCTTTATACGTGTATCCGAGTAACGTCGTGTGTGTGCGCGCCTGAGTCCGTTCGCACGTGCGCGTATCGTTGTAACTCTGCGCGCGTGCGTGCCCCCCGTGCGTAGACACCTTCTGGACGAACCCGCAGTTCCGCGTGCGCTTGGACGAGGAGGACGACGACCCCCACGATAACGAGGCTGGCTGCACGTTCATCGTGGCGCTCATGCAGAAGGAGCGGCGCAAGAAACGGCGCCAGGGCGGCGACGTACTCACCGTGGGCTACGCCATCTACGAGGCACGGGCCCGTCTCCCTGCGCCCCCCCTCCCCCGCGCCCTCCTCCCCTTGCCCGCGAGTCCGTTCGTACGCCATGCCGCTTGGTGCATGGGCACGAATAAATAAGCGGCACACTCGCACCATTCCTTCGATAGCGCCGCCCTCACCCGTGTGCTTCCGAACAAAGGAGGGAACCATTGCCCGAAACGTCGCCCGTCGATTGCTTCGTTGAAGCCCACAGAGTTTGTTTATGAATAAATTAGCGTTTCCCGACTCCCAGTTAATTGACGACCGCAGTAATGGACAGTGCAATGACAGCGAAGGGCAAGGTAAAACATCAAGCGGAGGGAACAAAAGAGGCCGACTAAATTGGCTTCATAAGTAGTTCCACAATGCCATCCCCTGGGCCTGTTCTCTGGCACAGGAGGAGGGTGTTGAACTGCTCGCTGGAAAGTGTCTTGGTCTCACGACAGGACGCCGTTCGTGCAGTCGCAGCATAATTTGGTGGGAAACGACAAAGACGTGCGTCGCTCGATGGGACGATGGCCGGTTGACAAAACCGTTGAGGGAATGGCAGCCAGAGGAGAAAGCCTTCGTCTACGAGCGCACAGACAATGGCTGCTGACGACTTCGATGGGTTTGAGATCGAGTTAAGTTCGTGACGGGACGCCAACACAAAAGTACGCGATGAATGTCAATGCGATCGCTTTGCCTCTAATTACCCCGTATCTGTCGGGCCCCCACCCCCTCTGTTTTGCGTGCGCGTGCAGGTCCCAGAGCAGGTACGACTCTGGACTCGGTCCCCCGCAGCGCCCCCTCGCGCCCGCCCCCGCGAGGCCACGGCGGCCGCTGCCCACCCAGTGGGGCCCGGCAGCCCGGCCTGGGCCGCTCCGTCACGGCCGACGTGCAGGGCCAGCGTGGGGCAAAGGAGCACCGTCAGATTTTTCTAATTAGAATAATAACATAGATATTTTAAATGCTTTCATGTTGTGGTAGGCACACAAGCCTGGTACAACGCGGCGGTGGTTTCAGGATAGGGGGAAAGAAAAGCCACTGTGGGTACGACAGCGTTTCTGAGCCATACGTAGGAGGGGGGTGGAAGTCTCGACATACCGACCTGTGGGAATCTTCCATCGGGGGGGGGGGGGGGGGGGGGCGGGGAATGTAATAGACTTCTTGTTTTGACGTCCTGCCTCCCGATGGTAGGAAAACATCGTCTCCATCCAGCGGTGGATGGAGACGACGACTGATGAGGACGACGACAGCGACGATTGTGTTAACCCTTTCGCTCCACCTCCACCCCCCCCACCCCTCGTGCGGCCTGCGCAGTTCGTGGGCCAGCCGCAGGTGAAGCTGAAGAAGGATTACTTCCAGTACCACTCGTCCAAGGCTCGCTCCGAGGTGTTCATCAACCTGCGCGAGGTGTCGCAGCGCTTCACCCTACCGGCGGGCGAGTACATCGTCGTGCCCTCCACCTTCGAGCCCAACCAGGAGGCCGACTTCATTCTGCGCGTCTTCTCAGAGAAGCAGAGCGTCACCGTGTACGTGTGGGGGTGGTGGCGGGGGGAGAGACAAAGATTCCCCCGTGTAGCTTTTGACTGCCTGTAGGGGCAGTTACAAGGCTATGCTAAGGTCGGCACGGCACAGGAGAGGGGATGGGTTGCCGGCACCACGCCCGGCCTGCCTTTGTCTCGCCGGTATTGATGTTTGCACAACGTACCAGGCTGAGTCGACCGAGGGGAGGCCCGGTACCGGTACAAATATGCGCAGTGCGCGAACCACCACACACAATACCTCCCCACGCACACGTACGTACACAAAACAAAGACAAAGATCCCCCTCGCAGCCTTTAACAAACTGTTGTGGCAAGTGCTGCTAGTGAGCGCACACACACGTGCACGTGCACAAAGACAAGAATCCCCCACGATGGATGTTCACACACTCGGGAACTAGCTCACAGTCGTGCACGAACACCCACACAGAGCCACAGTGATGCACCGACAAGTTTTACAAGTTTCAAGTTTATTTATTTCACCAGGTGAAAATGAAAGAGACCCGCACGGTCGCATTGGCAAGAGGGACTGGGTTCACCGAAAGGATGAAATAAATAAATAAATATCCATTACATCAAGTTGACTGCAGCAATGAATCATTGCTGACACATGCACACCCACGCGCGCACACGCACACTCACATAATGACAAAGACAGAGATCCCAGTTAAGATTGCAATGGCGCAAGACGGAGAGTGGGTGTGGCCAGAGCCACGCCTCGCCACTTGTCCTCGTATACACACCGCACTAGGTACTCATTTCGGGCTGAGTCAACCTAGGAGAGGCTCCGGGCCGTTTCACTGAGATTTTAGCCAGGAATAGAACATGGGATAGCCGTTTTCTTTCTTCAAGGTGCGCTAACCATGGATGCGAACACACGTGCACACAAACGAATAAATGTGCACGCATGCATACACACAAGCAGGCATGCGCACGCACACACACACATGCATGCACATGCACACGCACACACTACACGGGCAAAAATGCAAACGGGCACACACGCAGTAATACGTACGTGCGCGTGCACACACATGCAAACCCCAGTGATCTTCCATGCCCCCCGTGGATTGCACCATGCAATGCGGTCGTGTGGTCATGCATCACCGAGTTCCGTAGTGACAGATTTAGTGGCTCGCTCTTGCTACATCCCTGTCTTGTGAACGCCGATTCACGTTCCCGCATGAATCATCTTGAGTATCAAAAAAAACTTTCTGACCCAGAAACACCTCTCAAACGCTGACTTGGCATGCGTTCTACCGCTCTGCACATTGCCGTCGTTGTCTGCGCACGCGTGCACACACACACGTGCATGCACACACGTGCACACAGTCTTTACCAGACTGTTGGAGCAAGTGTTATTAAGCGAGGGTTTTTAAGGCCGGCGCAGCACACTAACGGGGTGGTTGGTCAGCGAGCCTTCGGCACTTCACGTGGCCTCAAAGTGCACCTGGCCTGGCACAGGTGACGTGGTGACGTCACCACCACGAAGTGGCGAATATCGGATATTGGTATTGGTTGTTGCCAGAACCATGGTCAACCACCTTGGCCTCCCCAGTGGTGATGTTGGCACACCACACCAGGTACTAATTTGAGGCTCAATTGACGCTAAGAGAGGCCCAGCACTGGTTCTTGGATCAATGTGGACTGTGGCCAGGAATGAACCTCAGGTTGATCTCTACGTTCTGAACCATGGTTGTAGTGTGATAACCAGTGCGCCACTGCTCCCCACGCAAGTACATACATTTTGTGAACTGTTGAAGGCATACCCAGGTGCCATGGGTTATCTGAGCTGGCTGGCAGATGCACATGTGCTCCGTACTGCGCTAACTTACTGCGGAAACTTGCTGCGTTTTAGCCACCTGGTGCTCCACTCGTGGTTGTGAGTGTTGCTTCTCCACCCTCCTCTTGTCGGAGGGCGGCTGCCTCCAACTGCCCAGTAGCATCCTTCACAAGCCGCCTCCACACCTGCATGTACACGTGTTCTCACGTGCACAAACACACACGGGGGCATGAACATGGACGCACGTGCAGTCGCCACCGGCATGTGCACCACATGTGTGCGCGTGACCGTACGTCCGGGGAGTGCCGACCCGTGCCGTGGTTGATAACGTGGGGCTCCATGTGTTTTTCAGGCCGATGGACAATGAAGTGGACATTACAATCCCCGCAGTACGTTCCCGCACCAAACACATTCAGCACTATGGATGCAAAATTAAAAACTAATGTAAATAGCAACAACGATCAAACAGTCGCCCCCGTCTGACAAATCAGTTTGGTCTCTTTGCCACTTCTTCTGCCCACAGTACAGTATGTTTAACTTTTTTTGCACCGTACGTAGCCAACCGTGCTAATTGGAGGTGCACAGACGTCAGCTAGAGCTGGGTAACATCAGAGGCCTCGTTGCGTCGATATCGGCGCCCGGGTCGCATGAGTAGAGCAACCATGATGGACTGTTGCATTTGTAGGTCATGTTGAAACACATTTACTCAATCCTGGATGCCGACGGCCCACGTGCTTTCAGGCGGTAGCTAAACTAGGCGAGGCCTAGGGTCAGCCTTGACGATGGTACACCTTGATTCTCTTTTTTTAAAAGTAAAAATCAAGGTGTCTGTTATACTCAACCAGGCTGAAATGTACAAGATAAATCACCCCCGGCCCACTCAATATATATAAAGTTTGTGTGTATGAAGCGTCGAACCCGCTTAACCGTTAGATGTTTACGACGCCGATGGCCTAAGCCGACAGCGAGCGGTGCTCTTGAGATGATGAGCGGTTCTCTTAGCGTCAAGGTCGGGGTCGCGCAGCAAGGTCGCGCAGGGCGACGACACCGCTCACACTTCTGTGGAATACAAACGGTCCTGATTTAGATGCCCACTAAAAGCACTTGCCAGAAGAGTAGGGGAAGGGTAGGGGGAGGATCTGTGTGCGCACATGTGTTTACGTGCGTGCGTATGTGTGCGTGTGTAGACCATGCCCGATGATGAGCCCATTGACCCAGGCTTCTACAAGCTGTTCGACCGGCTGGCAGGGGAGGTGAGTCACCACATGATGGCAACCGGACAACTTACATGCACTTCCAATCTTTGTTGTGTGTTCTTGTGCATTGTATTCATCATCATCAGCCACGATCTTATCCACTGCCGAATGAAAGCCCTCCCGACCCGTCGCCGTCTCTCACAATCCGTTCAGCTCCTGCACATGAGCTGATTTCATCTCCACGGTGGACATCCCTCGGGTACATTCCCACCTTGAGTTACCAATCTGTTGTTAGTCTCAGTCGCGGGCCCTCATCCCTTATGGCTTCATGTTCCGCCCGTGCCCTCGTGCACAAAAGAAGCGCAGTGAGGGGCCTGCACTGAGGTGGGAGGACGCGTGATGTACCCGTGTGTGCGTTTGTGTCTCTTAATTGGTAATCGTCTCCTCCCTGCCTCTCGATTCCCCGTCTACAGGACCAGGAGATCAGCGCCAAGGAGCTGCAGAGCATCCTCAACCGCGTCGTGTCCAAGCGTGAGTGACGCAAACGCGGGCACCTGCATGTGTGTGTTGGGTGCCTGCTTGCGTGTGTGCGTTTGATTCCCGCTCAACAATCTGTTAAGGCTATGAAGGGGATCTTTTTCTTTGTTCTTGTGTTCACCTGTTGACATTTACCAAGTAACATTAGCGTAGTGGGTATTTTAGTTGGCTACTTATGGTTCGTCATACATACGTGTTGACATTGTGTGTGTGTACGTTTGTGTGAATGTGTGCGTGTGTATCCGTGCAATAGATGCCAACCTGAAGACGGATGGCTTTGGGCTGGAAGCGTGCCGCAGCATGGTCTCGCTCATGGACGTATCCTTGTCGACCAACAGGGAAGAGCGATGTTAGCGAGCGCCTGTTAAATCCGGTGCGACACGTGTAATGAGGTTGTCAGGTTAGCATCACATGGTATGTCACACGCACACACCCTGCCACCAGCCAGTACTCATAAACTCAACTAAACTCTTTGTATTATACCAGGTAAGGGCCACTGAGCTATGTAGGTATTTTTCAGAAGCGACCTGGCCACAAGTGATCGCTCAACAATGTGGCTTATTTTGTGGAAATGCATAGCAGCCAAATGCTCTCTTATAAATGTGGAGGGTGGAAAAACCGGGAGGAAAATCGACGCGACCACGGGGACAACATGCGGTCCTTTGCCAAATCACTTGGCGCATGCGAGTGTGCGGACACACAGACACAGCAACGTTATCATCGCCTTGAGGGAAAGCTTCGGTTCCTGAAGAAGCTCCCAACGTGTGTGGAGCGAAGCTTTCGGAGACAATGCCGAACAGCGCGCGGTGCAACCCGAAAACACGTCGGAGAGCTGCTACCTACCCCCAATTGATTTGTGTCCGCCTACAACCCGCCACCCTCGCAATTCCACACGATGCCATCTGTGTGCGTGGAGACGTTTGTTCCTTTACAACCGCTGCAGAAAGACGGCACTGCCAAGCTTGGCGTGAAGGAGTTCAACTTTCTGTGGAAGAAGATCAAGAATTGGCAGGTGCGACGCTCGTTTTAACGACACACGTGTGTAGCACGTTTTTCTTTGCCAATCCACTGCTGGATGAGTGCTTCCCCACACCTTGCGGCCCATTGTGAGATAATGGACGCGTCATTCGAAGGGAGTGCAGAGCAACAATCGGATTTTGCTGCAATGCCCACAACGACCCACGACTACCCTCTACTGCCCACAGTTGGCCACAACGCCTTTGCCTTTTGCACACCGTGGCCTCCCGGCCAAGCACTTTCCAGGCTTTCCGAGGTCTAAGATAAGACACATTCTGAGCGATCTGGTCATGGGCTATGATAATCTCATAACAACGACCTTTAATTTACTAACCGAAGGTTTTACCGAGTCGCGAAAATCCCTTACCAAATCACATGTGCGTGTATGTGCGTGTATGTGCGTTTGTGCCCATAGCAAATCTACCTCGAGTACGACACGGACAGTACGGGAACCATGAACTCCATGGAGATGCGATTGGCGCTCGAAGCAGCGGGTGCGACAAGCGCATGTCCACTCACACATGTGCACGCACACACACGTGCACATACACACACGTGCACATATACACACGTGCGCACACACACATGCTCGCGAGCACATACGCACATGAGCACACACACTCACCTGCGCTGCCCCCCCCCCCACCATCCCACCCTCTCCTGGTCCCCGATCTCGCTCGCCGCCCCAGGATTCCGCCTGAACGAGAAGCTGAACCAGATCGTCACGACCCGCTATGCGGACGGCGAGAACGGCATCACCATCGATTTTGACAACTACGTGTGCTGCCTCGTCCGCCTGGAGACCATGTTCCGTGAGTCACCTCGCCCAGTCGTCACCCCCCGAACGCTCCACCTCCAACCTCCACCATGCTCACCCCCATGACTTGGGAGCATGATAACTTGGGAGCACGATAATAAGTGTTGTGGGGTGGTCACGGCAGAGTGTCCAGGTGGTGGTGTGGATGTTGTATGTACGTGTATGTTGAACTTCGTTCACACCGTACGTAGCCAATTGTGCTAATCGGAGGTGCGTGGGAAGGACAACAAACTGAACACAAAAAGCATGTTGGTGTCTGTGGTGGTCGTGATTCTAGTGGAGAGGTCATTGAGCTGACCGCTTTGGTTAATCCGTATGTCTCCCCTCCCTCTCTTCTATGCCAACATCCGTCCTCTGCCCTCTCTCCCACGTGCAGGTACATTCCAAGCCTTGGAGAAGGATGGTAACGAGAAGATCAATCTGAACCTCCCGCAGGTAATGGCATTGGGGCAGGACACGGCGAGTCCTTTCGCTAAACGTCGTTTTTTCCCCGCTCACGCACATCGCCATGGCGATTGAGTCTGTCTGTCAGTAATGGGACAGATCGCCGTCGCGATTGGGTTTGCGGTTACAGACCCACAGCTCTTAGGGTGACTGAAAAAACTTGACACGTTCAGCAAATAACACTTCCGTAAAAAAATGTACCCGTAAAAACTAAGTTTTTCACTATAAATCCTTTATATGCGTGGCGGCTAGAGTCCTCTCGTCCTCTGGCTTGAGATGGCTGCCACCTATGGGTCAGATGATTGCCTGCCACCATTAAGCAATTGGTAATAAAATATTTTTTTTTAAATCCTAAAAAGTGTAAAATTTTTGAAAAAAAATTTTTGAAAAATTTTTTTACGAAAATAAATTGTCATGCACAACGAGTCTGTGTGCAAAATGTCAGCTCGATTGGATCACGGGAAGTGGGTTAAAAAACGACTGAAATATTTGCACGGTCGTAAGCGCGCAAGCAAGCAAGCAAGTGAACTTAATATAAAGGATTTAAAAAATAGTATTTTATTGCCAACGTTTTGCGTAACGGTCCATTTATCACAGCACATTCGTCAATAACGCAGCGCATAGAGAGAGGCAATATCGCCCAACAATTTGTTTGATTATGGCGTTTTGAGGTGGGCAGCGACGGAGCTATAACCTCTACGTGATTTACATCGTCACATGCGGCGATGGGAACCGGCGGCTGCTGTCAGGCGACCTCCTTGCCGACCCAACGGCTGCCTCCATCTCCCGCACCATTACCATTAGCAGCAGTAGCGGCGGCAGCTAGGGTTGCCACCTGTCCTGGTTTTCTGAGGACGGACCTCTTGTTGAGGCAGCTGTTGTCCTGGGAAATCTGTTAGTCTTCCCAGGAGGTAAAAAAAATCCCAATTTTTGTCCGTTGCGCAATAATGCAGTACACCACTCACGACAATGCACTTGCAGTTTAGCGAGAGTCTCTCTCCTGTGATATGTCCTTGTTATTTGTGACTCAAAGGTGGCAACCCGAGGTGCAATTGCTACCACAGACAAAGATCCCCCATATAGCCATACCAGACTATTGGGGAAAGTGCTGTTAGCGAGCACCTATGAAGGCCGGAATAACAAAGAGGGTTAAATGGCCAGCACACCACGCCCGACCACCTTTGTCTCCCCAGTGGCGATGTTTACACACCACACCAGGTGCTCATTTGAGGTTGAGTCTACCTAGGGGAGCTCCAGGTACCAATTCAGTTATTCGTCACTGGTATTGGTCATGAGCAGAAATCAAATTCGGGTCGCCGGGTTCGTAGCGCAGCGTGCTAGCCGCTACACCACCACTCCGCACATGCAATTGCCACCGCCACATCTACCACCTACACCAGCAGTAGTTGTCGTAGTAGCAGCGTCTGTAACACATGACGTCGCATTTGTCTCCACAGTTCCTCCACGTGACCATGTTCGCTTGAGAAGACGAAGGATCACAAAGATGGGGGGGGGGGGGGGCGGTGTCCGGTGGAGTGTCATCACTCGAAAGCTAAAGCAAGAATCTCCTCTCAAAAGAAAATAAAGAAATATAAACATGTATTTTTTAAGTCAAGCAACAAATTAATGTTGTCAAAAAATATATATATCCTCTCAGCCATAATGAACGCCCAGTGGTAGATTCTGTAACATCTCCATGTGTGCACTCTGTATAACTCGCTACAGTTCCATTTCCTCTCGGGGTGTTCTCGTTATTTCTTTAACGAGCTTCTCGCTTCTCATCGTGTCGAACGCCATTTCTTTTCTCGCTGCTCTGTGACCGCACAGACGAACGGTTGGGGTCTCTTAATCGTTTGTCGCGTCACCAAAAACGTTTCCAAACTACGGTCCAGGAGAGAAATGGCCGGTAGCCGTGTCAGATATTTTTTTTTTACACCTTTAGTCTCATCGGGTCCCTGCTGACAGCTTTTTGTGTTTAGTTTGTTGTCCTTCCCCCGCACCTCTGATTAGCGTGGATGGCTACGTACGGTGGGAAAAAAGTTCAACATGCATACAGGTCTATTCAGGTCAAAAGCGTCTCTCGCCATTCAGGCACACGTTTGGGTGGTGCTCATCTCTGTTCGGCGGCCTTCAGCCATTGGTGAGGACGGCCTCAACAGGAGGATCACCACTATACACGGAACCGAAATAATGGAAGTTTGGTGGTTGCTGCCCTTGTCTCGCGTGGATTTTTGTAGCGATCGTTCAGTACCAACGAGACGGATGATTCAAATGAGTTGGTGCAAACAAGATGGATGATACAAATGAGATAGAATATAAACCATAAACTACAAATGATAAAAAAATTACACGAACATCGCTTTAATGAAATTGGCCATTTTGTTTGGCAAGAAATTTCTCACACACGTCTGACAGAAAATGCAGATGCTAGCCGGTACGTTGAAACGTTTTACGATAGCCTAACAAGAAATCACGGTGATTGCAACGATGGTGTTTTACTTCCACCCTAGGGTCGGCGGAGATGACTGCCCGCTGGAGTTGATCGCGCAAAGGCTGTGTTCAACGTGCTTGGGTTCGATCATGGGCGGTGCCGTGCCCGTTGCCTCAGTCAACAGCCCCTTGTAGTCGTAGTCCATCGGCCCCGAACCTGATATTTCACTTGTCCCGCACCACCTAAGAGGTTGGCATAGCTTTTGTGGTGCTGATTTATCTTTGTCACCATTCACAGCGGATTACGCGGTCACCATCAGAAATGAGTGGCTTATCCAGTAAGTTTACTCGTACTGGCCGTGTAAATAAATTGGGACGATATATTTGTTGCTACCTTTGGTGGGTACCAATATCTGCTCTGGCTCACGGACTGTTCACGCCGCCAGGGACTCGTCACTCCTTGCCGTGCCTTCTGCCGATCCACCCTCAAAAGTCCCCTGCCCTTCCCTGCCCTCCACTGCCCTCTACTGCCCCGCTCACTTCTCCGCGTCTCGCCGACACACGTGTGTTTTTAGGGCCTTTGGCGAGACCGAAAATTATGATTTGGTAGATTTTAGCATTTGTGAGCAAATGATGTCTGGTTTTTATGTTGTTGGTGGTCTTTTTGATTTTTGATACCTCCTTTGGAAACGTAGCTTCGAGTGAATTTGTTTTCGGTCGCGCATTGGGCAAAGGCGATCATTTGGCAAATGCTTAACATTGGGAGGTGAATCCGTGATTGATGAGTAATCCGGACTTGGTGTGGTCGTACGTGTGTGTACAAGGAATACGCTGTATTGGAGGTTTACTTAAACATTTTCACGCATGATGGGGACTATATTACAGTAAATACGTTTACTTTCTCGTACGGGAAATGACAAGTTACTTCATATGAAAAAACAATGTACGTCTTATTCATAGGTTACCTGCTTTTCACCCGTGCCACCCATTAGAGGTGTAACGATGCATCAGTCAGCATCGATTCTTAATCTCGCGAAGCTTCCATCGAATCGCATTTGCAAGAACCGACGTCTGACTCCTGCAGCCACGAGAGAGCGCTACATTTACGGAAATGTTAACAATATCCGCAAATGGATATTCTTTTTTCAAGCTCTGTATTTGAATGGAATCGCGACTCCGTATCGCGGCGGTAATTCTTTTAAGATCGTCAGTTAAATTGTTACACCTCCTAGGGCGCGATGCGGTGGACAAGGCTGGCTCTCCCGCGCTAAGCTTCTGAAGCCATCGCTGAGTGCACGACGACGCGTAGACATTTGTGAATGCTGCTGCTGCGCATGGCCTTACGGATTGACATTTCACCGCAAAATAAACTGATCAGCAGCTCGGCTGACAATGTCACGCACCGAATGATTCATCGTGTGGTGGCTTCTGTGTTTGTTTCTATCGTGATGGATTTGCACCGGCATTTAAAATCGCGTTTGTGCTATCGGGAGTCGTGTCATGGGCTAAATGGGCAAGAAGCGAACTGTAGGGGAGAGTGCCCTGATGTAGACCAAGAGGACTTGCGGCGGAATGAACTTGCCGATGACCGATACCGGCTATGTCGAGATCGGCCTGTGGAGGAGGCTGGTGAAGGACGCTACTGGGCAGTTGGGGGCAATCGCCCTCCAGCATTGTATAAAACAGCGAGGAGGAGGATGAGGAGTGGGGCAGCGCACGTGATGCCAAAGTCATCTCGGTTGGTTGAACCTTTCACGCCTTGGGTATGTCCCAGGGCGTCCTGCCATAGTGGCTTTGACACTTCACGTGGCCTCAGTGCCTGGAGCAAATGCCATGTTGATGCTGTCGCCAGAGCAGGTGAATGGCGGCTGTTGTTGGTAGATGAAGAAATGTTCTGGAACACCTCGTTTGGCCAAGCCTCTCAAACCGAACAATGGCCCCAGAAGTGAATTTCACAACGACTCAATGGGTTGATTATTCGGCCTCTCTCCCAACAATCGACATAGCTCTTTTAAAGAGTGCTTCTACGTGTCAATTATTCATTTAAATAAATATATGTATTCAGCGTTCAAACATTTGTTATGTGTATAAGCTGGATGTAAGCACATTTTATGTAAGCACGGGTGGCAGTGTTATGGTGGTTGGTGCGCTCTCATTCCTGTCAACCCATACGGCTTACCCGTATTCTTGTACAGGTTACTCTTTGGTTCTTTCGGTAAAGTCACGTATCAAGAGAAAATAATACGTAATACGTGACTTTACCGAAAGAACCAAAGAGTAATTCCTGCATTCACGAAAGCTCCAAATTAAGTTTGTACAGGTTAGTTGAGTTTTAACAAAAATATGTGTTTCTCCCTTGTGATGGCACTTTGTAGGATGAACGTTGAGCTTTATAAGGGCACAGGGTGACCAATAATGTCAGAGTTCGTCTGTAATAAGGTGTAGGACACTGATAAGGAGTTGACCGGTATGCGCTCTGAACCCGACGGCCCCCAGGTTCAATTCCTGGCCACGCTCGCATCAAGTGACAACGAGACCCAAACCACCCCCCCCCCCCCAGGCAGATTGTGTAACGCCGGCTCTCCATGTGACAGATCGCCAATTGGAATCGATCACCTTCATTTTAACTCAAGTCGTTATTTGCTTATTAGGGATCGCATATCGGCGTCCCTTACATCGTAAACGGTTCGGTGGCGGTGTTAGTGTGGTAGCAACTACCACAACAACAACAACCCCACACCAACAGCAGCAGCAGCTTCCTTTTGGCACTTAAGTGGCGGTGACGTCACCACAGCGCCTGTGCCAGGCTAGGTGCACTTTGAGACCACGTGGATTATTCGAAGGCTTGCTGCTGTCAAGTGAAGGGGCAGGCCCAGGTGTAATGGATTAAATGCCCGAGATGACGGACCATACAAACACCACCAACCCACTACCTTCATGGGCGCCATCACCGCCATCACCACCACACTACCACACATTTAACTCGAGAACGTCTACTAATTAAGACGTCCACCCCACGAATGCCACAACCAGAGGACCTCCGATTAGCAAGGTTGGCTACGTATGGTGCGAAAGAAGTTCAACATACGAGAAATCGCAGCAGAGAGCGCATTTGCTATATCTGCTTCTTGGCTCGTTCTTATCTTTCGTCGCATAGGCGTTTGATTCGGTGAAAATCGATGCAGTCGTCCAGAGGACGTCCACCCATAACTGTCCAGCAGCAGCATCAGACCCCCCCCCCCCGCCACATCCAACCTCCCTGTGGCTCTGAGTGGCGAGCAGGCGGAGAACAAAGACGCTCACTCACAGACGCGATCAGCGTGGTCAGGCGCCTGGAGTAAGCGGGGTCATGGGACCGTGAGACGCGTCACATTCACTACTGAACGTGGAGTTCCCCCCACCCTCGCCCGCCCGCCTGCATGCAATCTCGTGCTTGACGGTGCGACCGGGTACAGGGGGCTGGGGAAGAGATCTGGGGAGGAGCAGATATGTGGCGGGCGGGGGGGTGGGGGAGATAGACACTGGGAGAGAGAGAGAGAGACACTCAAGCACACTGGGAGATAGGCGAGGAGCGACGCTGGAGAAGAGAGGAGAGAACCGAGCAGGTGAGTGTGGGGAGTCGTCGCGTTCTCGTGGAGAGTTTCAGTGGCGGCGTCAAAGTTCACCGGTGGCCGAAGAGTCGCCGAATGAGGGAGACCGGTCCAGAGTCGTCCCCTCGTGATTAATCCGTGCCGATAGAAACCGTGGCTGACGGGATGAGTAATTGATTGTATGTGGAGGGCCAGATGTGGTAGGGAGGTGGATTGTTCCGCGAATGCACCGTGGAGAGTACGCGTGCCCGTCATTGTCAGCACGGACCTCACCATCATCGGTCATCACCAGTAATCACAATATACAAGCAGCATTGATAACAATTATAAAGTCACCATAACTCAATCTTCACCATCAACAAGCAGCATTGATAACTACATTTGCAATCATAAAGTCACCATAACTCAATCTTTTTACCATCAATAAGCAGCATTGATAACTACATTTGCAATTATAAAGTCGCCATAACTCAATCTTCGCCATCACCCACGTGTGTTTATTTAAAATACACATTTCTACCGCTGGATGCACCTTTCTACCGCTGGATGAAGGAAGACCTCACCACTCATTGTCGATCATGGTGGATGTTTGACCATACTTCACCACGCTGGTAAGTACGCTTTGGCAAAGCTGGGGAGTGGGGCGCGAGGGTGATTTGGTCATGCCAAGGGCCGGCAACCTGCAACTTCAGAGCCGCATGCTTCTCTTTAAGGACCGCTTTGTGGCGATATGTATTAATTAACCACGCAGTTGCATTGCGGCTCTTGAAATATTAAGGTTTTTTTTACAGAATTCGAAAAAAAAATGCCTCTTCTTGTTATTTTGGTTGCCGAACACCCCTGGTCGTGGCAATGCCACGGGGCCCGGTTCAGCTGCCGCTTTCCTGCCGACGTTAGCCGTGGCCGGGTATCAAACTGAGGTGGCACATTTCAACGTAACAATACGGGAGATTCACCCCACCTTTACTCAGACCATTCCTCCTCTTCCTCGCCCGCTTCGATAGATCCAGTTTACATTTCCAACTGATCGCCCCGCACTCGCTGTGCACCAAGTCAAAGTTTACAGAATTTCAGACAGCGCAATTAATAGAAGATAACAGCTGGCGGCGAAATTTCGATTTAAAGCTTTCGTGACTGCAGGGATTCATCTTCTTGGTTCTTTCGGTAAAGTCACGTAAAAGGGAAGTAATAAAATAATAAAAATATTTATTTTATTACTTCCCTTCTACGTGACTTTACCGAAAGAACCAAGAAGATGAAGCTGGCGGCGAGTTTGGTTATTTATTGGCCCACGAAAGCCACACTGAGTCCCAAGACACCTTTTTTTCATGAGGGTCCTGCATTGGGATGATTGGCCAACACCGATTACATTGCATAGATAATTTTATTTTGCTATGGGAGGAAACTGGAAAACCCGGAGGAAACCCGTGCCGAACAGGGAGAGAGAACGCGCAAACTCCACAGTGTTATGGGTGAAGTTAATGTCTCTTGTATCGGTGAGTTAATTGAGCGTTGGGGGGGGGTGCAAATTCATAGCAGGTGGCAACTCATTTAGTTCGCCCAGCAAGTTCTTGAGTAGGTCCAGGTGTCCAGGTGTGGCACCACCAATTGTATAGATGAGTAGGTAGTTAAAGCGGGCTGTGAACAGCGCTAGGGAGGTAGGAGGAAGACAGCCCAGGAAAATAACCTTTTGGTGGTACCCCGGGGTGCCATGTTACCCCGACTCTCGCACAATGTCCGTGATGCAGTCACTCTTAGTCTGTTAATGGTCGGCGATGCGGCCATCGACTCATCTCGACGAGCTGTACACGATGCACCACCACGGTGCGTTCGCGAGCGTTCAGGGTCTTGGCGCAATCGTCCTCGCTGCGTTTCAACATCGCGGAGTGTGGCACTGATTTCGAATTAATTGGTACCCCAGTCTCGGAGTGAAGTACACCCCTAGAAAAAATTGTATCCCAGAAATAAAATATTCAATTGCCTCGGCCCATTTCGTATTGTTTGGTACCCCGGGATACCGACATCAGGATCAAATGCCCCCTCTCCGGCAGCGCAGCACGCCAGCGCACGCACCGTCAAGGAGGCAGCAACGAAGCCACGACAAGAACCGTCACGTGAACGCCGCTTCCTTGAGGTAGGGCGAGGTTCGGTGAACATGAGGGCAAAGCAATGAGGCCTATCGATCTTCTTGGTTCTTTCGGTAAAGTCACGTAGAATGGAAATAATAAAAATAAAACATAATAAAATAATTCTCACGACGTTTCGGCCACAACGCAAGCAGCCGTCCTCAGGTGTAGAACAGGTCTGTCGAACAAGTCTGTCGAGAAGAATTATTTTATGTTTTATATTTTTAATTTTATTATTTCCATTCTACGTGACTTTACCGAAAGAACCAAGAAGATGAATCCCTGCAGTCACGAAAGCTTTAAATCGAGGCTTATCGACTTGGTCTTACCAGCGACCCGGGTGAGGGCGGCAGGCCAGAACTTGGAGGAGCGTGGTGGGCGAGAAGTGAGAAGAGAGGGCGCAGCCAGACGCCTCTGATCAGCCCAGCCTCGGCTGCTTCAAACTGCGACTGCTGCTGCTGGCTGCTGTGTGGCGCACATCTGCTGCTAGTGCTGCTGCCGTAGCCCTAGTAAGGATACTCGTGTACTGTGGGAGTGCTGCGAACTCGGTGAGCGTGGAGAAGTGGCAACTATACTGCATGCTATAGCGTGGAGAAGTGGCAACTATACTGCATGCTATAGCGTGGAGAAGTGGCAACTATACTGCATGCTATAGCGTGGAGAAGTGGCAACTATACTGCATGCTATAGCGTGGAGAAGTGGCAACTAGACTGCATGCTATAGCGTGGAGAAGTGGCAACTATACTGCATGCTATAGCGTGGAGAAGTGGCCACTAGAGCATGCAGTGGGCGAAGTGGGGGTGTGCTGGATGGGGTGGCCATGAGCATGCCACTGTTTGGCACCTGTGTGTGCGACCGTGGCCAGAACCTGAAGGACCTAAACCTCTAGGTGATCGTTTTCCTGTGCCTGGGCAAAGGGTACAGGGAAAGTCGTGCTGCGTGTGTGGGTGTGCATGGGGGGTTTTGCGTATGGATTACGTGTGTGTTTGTAATGGTGTAAGGCAAGGCATGGTTCCTCCTCTATGTCTTTTGGAGGATGTGGCAGTGACCACGACTACCCCAACTCCCTTTACTTGACTGAACCTAAAATACATTCTTCAGACCCTTTCCTACTGCTTCGGCCCTGGTCTGGTGTGCGCCGACCCGCGCGGTAGAGTCTAACACCCCATGCTCCACATCAACACTGCTGGACTCCTTTTCTCGTGTAATGACGCCAAAAAATAAATTGGCAACCCAACAGGTCGCGCAGCAGAAAAGTGCCCCGAGTGCCCCAATGAAACCCTGGGTCCTCTTCGCAAGCGGCACACGCGGTACCGCGGGTCCAGCCTGCCGCCACGTGTTTATTGGTTGATGACACTGGTCAACAAAAAAAAACCAATTTTTTTCTGGTCTGGACTTTTGCAGCTATTTTAGACTAATTTCAGGGTGCTGATTCCAAATCTGATCTCAGATTTGCTCTATCACATCTCATTTTTATGCTATCGGCATACCCCATTTTCATTGATTTTACCCGAAATTAACTGTCACTTATGATTGCAAGTTGTTGCGAGTCAGTGACTGCTTTAGTGTTAAAATATGGTGCTGTATTTTTAGGATAGTGTGTTTATAATATCATTTTATGTAGATATCCACATTTATTGAATCTTTTTCTTCTGCAGTTTTTATTGAAAATGCAATATTTGATATCTCAAAAACCTGATGTGATAGACAAAAACTGATGCCAGATTTGGAATCAGCACCCCAAAATTACCTTACAACCGTTGGAATACCTTACGCCAGAAAAAGTGTGTTGACCAGTGTGATCTTTCGTTGTGCCGCGTGGTTTTGTTCGGCACAATGTCCGACGTTTCCGCTCCACGTGCTCGGAGCTTCCGAACAGTCTGCCCGTGACAAACCGTCGAAATCAATAATATTCGACGAATCAATTTGTCATGACGAAGCCGACGGAGCTTGTATGTAGCAGCTACCTATGGGAAACTCAATAATATGTTTCGGTTAGTTTCTGCATTGGGACGTTTGGTCGATTGTGCTCTATGAATGATCTTTTAATGGGCTATATATTTTTTTAGTTAATCAATCATCATCCATGAAGAATCCACTGCGAGATGATGGCCTCCCTCCCCAAGCTGTCGGCACCTCCCACGATCCTCCGACTTAACGATCCACCCAGAGTGATTAAAATCCAACAATAATTTATACGGCAAAGCCACCACAAACCAATGCATTAAACATTAACTCGGCTGGCGCTTACAGTAATGAGTCGTGTATCGGGTCAATGTGACTAAAACACACCGTACTGAATATTAAGAACAGCAACAATGTCGTTTTCTAAACAAAGGTAAAAGTATGCGAGACATGAACACACCCCGGTAGGCCTTTGTTGTGGGGCCCCACATCATCAGCAGCCACGACCTATCCACTGCTGGATGAAGGCCTCGCCCCCCCGATGTCAGCACCTCACACGGGTCGCCCTGAGACACCACAGATCCATCTCGCTCCTCCTGCATTACGAGCTGATCTCGCCAATCCGTTTCCGAGGTGGTCGTTCGTTCTATCGGGCGTGCGAAACCCCATTCCCGTGGGCATTGAGATGCCATCCCATCGCTTGCCAGGACCCAATAAAGCAAACATGTAGACACTCCACCTGTCCCGTCTGTAGGGGATAGAGTATTTCCCCCTCGCATGGGTGTTTTTTTTTCTCTCCGGGTGCTCCGGTGTCAGGCGAACGAGAGCCAACTTCGATCGCCATGAACTTCGAAGAGGCTCTGAGTGCCGCGGGGGGGTTCAGCCGCTTCCAGCTGTGGCTCACGGTCCTCCTCCTCGTGCCGCGCCTCGTGCTGCCCTGGCACCTGATGGTCTACAACTTCATCGGCGCTACGCCGCACCACCGCTGCCGCCTCCCCGACTCTCCGACCGCCGCGTCGCTGGATAACGGCAGCGGCCCGGCGGCGACGTGGGGCGGGCAGCCCGCTTGGCGAGACGACGGCGAGGAGGGCCTGAGCGCTTGCAGCCTCCGCGAGGCCGCGGGGACGAACGCTTCTGGGAGCCCGTGGCGCAATTCGAGTGAGGCGTTGCCCTGTCCTTCCGGGTGGGAGTACAACCGCCGGCAGTTCACGGAGACCGTGGTGACGCAGGTAACGTGCACGGGTGGCGCGCGTCTGCGCTTGGAAGCAAGGACTGGCATCAACACACTGTGACACCGCTCCCAACTCCCCCCCCACTCCCCTTTTCCCACAGTGGGACCTGGTTTGTGAGCACAAGGCGCTGAACCACCTCTCCCTGACCCTGTTTATGGCCGGGGTCATGCTGGGGTCCTTGGTCTTCGGGTATCTCTCCGACAGGTACCGCGATCCAGCGCAGCACCGTCGCACATCCCTAAACAGGTGCCCGCTAACGGAGCGCCGGGTGAGTCCTGCGGGCCGGCGTGGCGATGGCACGGCTTGGAATGTCCGCACAGATGGGCTCGTGGGAGAGTTTCACTGATCTCGTCTTGATCGTTCAACCCTTGCTCCAAAACTCTACGCTTCACGCCATCGGGGCGGTGGCAAATGTTATCGGTGGTGTCTTTTTTGTTTTGTTTTGTTTAAATGAATTACGTCGTTAAACAATTTACAGCACCCCCCCCCCCAATCCGTTGATTGGTGAAGGCCTTCCCGTTCCATGTCAGTCGTCGTGGGAGTCGTTTGAGCGTTCTGAACGTTATCATCAACAATTGGCCACTGTGGGCTGGTAAAGGTGAGCGAAGACTCGGGACCGATTCAGATATCACTCCACCGATGTTAGCCGTGGCCAGGAGTCGAACTCTGCATGATTTGCTACGTCCAAATTTTGACTTAAAACTTTCGTGACTGCAGGAATTCATATTCTTGGTTCTTTCGGTAAAGTCGCGTAGATAGAAATAAATAAAATAATACATTAAAAATAATACAAGCAAAAAACCTCCATAAAAATTGTTAAATAAACTTTAAATAAATTGAAAATAATAAAAGCAAAAAACCCACGACGTTTCGATTGCAACACAAGCGGCCTTCATCATCATGCTACGTCCAATCTGCCAAGTGGAGGGGATGATACCCCCCTTCCCTCCCCCTCTTTTTGCCCCCCCAACCCGCCCCCCCCCCCCCCCCCCCCCGCCTAACCACCCTCGTGGCGTCACCTCTGGACTTAGTCTCCCGAGTTTCTCCTTCGAGTGACGCTGACTTCTCCCCGCTCGGGCCGTGGCGGCGGCAGGTACGGCCGCAGGAACGCGCTGCTCGCTTCCTACGTCCTCAACGCGGTGACGGTGACGGCGGCCACGTGGGCGCCGACCTTCAGCTCCTTCACGGCCATGCGCTTCCTCCTGGGGGTGTCTCTGTCCGGCATCATCGTCAACACCCTGTCGCTCAGTGTGTGGTTCACACCATCATCTCCCTCGCCGCCACCAGCACCGGCATCGCTGTCAATACGAGACCCACCAGCTACACCATAAAGCGCTGTCACCACAACCACTACCACCATAAACATTGACACCACCACCAATTCCACCACCACCACAACAACCACTACTATCCACATCGACACTATCACGACGACCAACATTGACACGTGACTGGACCAGCAGCACCGCCACCATCACCACGACCAACATTGACACGTGGCTGGACCAGCAGCACCGCCACCATCACCACGACCGACATTGACACGTGGCTGGACCAGCAGCACCGCCACCATCACCACGACCGACATTGACACGTGGCTGGACCAGCAGCACCGCCACCATCACCACGACCGACATTGACACGTGGCTGGACCAGCAGCACCGCCACCATCACCACGACCGACATTGACACGTGGCTGGACCAGCAGCGCAGCCACCATCACCACGACCGACATTGACACGTGGCTGGACCAGCAGCACCGCCACCATCACCACGACCAACATTGACACGTGGCTGGACCAGCAGCACCGCCACCATCACCACGACCGACATTGACACGTGGCTGGACCAGCAGCACCGCCACCATCACCACGACCGACATTGACACGTGGCTGGACCAGCAGCACCGCCACCATCACCACGACCGACATTGACACGTGGCTGGACCAGCAGCACCGCCACCATCACCACGACCGACATTGACACGTGGCTGGACCAGCAGCGCAGCCACCATCACCACGACCGACATTGACACGTGGCTGGACCAGCAGCGCAGCCACCATCACCACGACCGACATTGACACGTGGCTGGACCAGCAGCGCAGCCACCATCACCACGACCGACATTGACACGTGGCTGGACCAGCAGCACCGCCACCATCACCACGACCGACATTGACACGTGGCTGGACCAGCAGCACCGCCACCATCACTACGACCGACATTGACACGTGGCTGGACCAGCAGCACCGCCACCATCACCACGACCAACATTGGCACCCACCACCACCACCAGCACGAATGCGTAGTTGGTGTGAGCTTCTCGGAGCGTGCGCCGCCGCTGTGCGTGTAGGCGTCGAGTGGCTGGACCAGGGGCACCGCACGTTTGCAGGGGACGTCGGGCGGCTTCGCGTGGAGCACGGGGAACATGACGCTGGGGCTGCTCGCCTACCTCCTGCGGGGCTGGCAGGAGCTGCAGCTCGTGGTCACGTCACCCATTTACTTCTGCATCCTCACCTGGTGGTGAGCGCCCAGGTTGGGGAGGGGCTGGAGGTGGTGGGGGGGTGAGCAGCCGCGAGGAGGGTGGACTTGCCCGACCCTCGGTCGGCGATGGGGCCTAGTGGTTGCGTGTTTGCCGCTATCTGGCAGAGGTTTGCGGTTCGCCCCCAGCGACCGCCCTGGTTAATACTGCGGGTATATTAACAATTTAAAACAAAGTCCGTTTCACAGTGGACGTTAAAAATCCCGTGACATTCAAAAAAGGTGTAGGCCTTTTGTACTGACATCGCGGTTGTCCACATTAGTCTTTTTCAAATAAATGACTTCGTAAATTACCGACAGTAGTTGGATGAGGCAACATCGCAGCATCGCTGTCTTCTGTAACACTACTGCAGACGATACTGCGGTATTCATCTGTGAAACAGCACCTTCGTGATAGCCTTGCGCAATGATGATAATAATACTGCGAATACCAAGAGTACTGATTTAATTCATTTGAGTCGATGCATCTAGACAAAAGACGAGAGGGGGTGAAAGATCGTCGCAAAATTTGATCAAATGTTTATACATTTTTATCAAGAATTTTATAGCCATGATACACATCCGCCCATCTTCCGCGATTTTTCTCCCCCACAAAAATCGATCTGAACCGGTTCTGCGCCTCCCATAGGTCGTCTCAAATGAGTACCTGGTGTGGTATGTAAATATCGCCACTAGGGAAACAAAGGCGGCCGGGCGCGGTGCTGGCCATCCACCCCCTCGTGTACCGTGCCGGCCTTCATAGGTGCTCGCTAACAGCACTTGCCTCAACAGTCTGTTAAGGCTATACGGGGGGGGGGATCTTTGTCTTTGTGCACGACTCCTGTGTCGCATCTTCTCCCCGCCAACCGCCCTAACCATCATCTCGTCTCTCCGTTCACCTCCTCCCACCTCCTCCCACCTTCCCGGGATAGGTTCATCCCCGAGTCGCCTAGGTGGTTGCTCGTCAGGGGCCGGGCGAGAGAGGCACATCGCAACCTGAGCCTCTGTGCGCGCATCAACGGGCGGACCAAGTTTGGGAGCGAGGTCACCGTGGAGGTACGTGGTGCAACTCCAAATATACATGCGTCAGGGTCGAACCCACGACCTCCAGTATCACTGCCTTCACACAAGCATGTTCGTCTCTGGTGGCGATTGGTATTGTTTTATTGGGATTGACCTTGTGCGTGGCAATGGCTTGGGGAGGCCTTCATCCAGCAGTGTATGTACGTTGAACTTCTTTCGCACCGTACGTAGCCAACCATGCTAACTGGAGGTGCGGGAGAAGGACAAGTCTGGGTGGGCGTACCATTGCATGTGTGTGTGTGTCAGTGTATCTGTGTGCACGGTGTGAGTCAATCTGCGTCGGTGTAACCGTGTGTGCACGTGTGTGTGTTTGTACGTATATCAGCGTACCCGTATGTTAGCGTGCGAGGCTGCTATTATTCGCGAGTGTGCCGCCGGATAGACCGTGGCTGCTGATGACAAATCGTCATAAAATTTTCCGCCGCCACCACCACCGTGCTGATCATGAGTTGGTCCGGGGTGGCTCACGACGTTGCCTGTGGCAACCCCCCCTCCCCCACCCTCAGGCCCTGCAGGACGCGGTAGAGAAGGAACGCACGACGCAGAACAGCACCTTCCTGCACCTGTTCCGCACCCCTCGCATGCGCAAGCACACCCTGGCCGCGGGCGTCGTGTGGTGCGTGTGGGGTGTGCACGAGTGCGTGCACTGGGGTAACGCCAGGCCACAACTGGGTAAAGCCACGACGCGACTGGGTAAAGCCACACCGTGACTGGGTAAAGCCACACCACAACTGGATGTACGTGCACGTTGAACTTCCTTCGCACCGTACGTAGCCAACCGTGCAAATCGGAGGTGCGGGGGAAGGACAACCTCAGCATTGATGAACACCAACAATGACCCTTGCCAATTTATACGGACGAAAGATTTGCCGAGTTGACCGTTTGGCTGACCTGACAACATGGTAGTGGAGGAGGGCATGTGGAAAGTGGAGGATGGAGATGGAGGGGGAGGAGGGTGTTTTAAGTTCATAACCTTTTTTTATAATGAGCAGGGAAAGTTTATTGTTAGAGTTTTTTCCCTATTATCCACGGGTGTTGCCCGGCGCCAAATGTTCGACGGGGCCGCCCCTGTGGCCACAGTCGTCGCGGTAAAAACTGCGCGCACCTTCTTGACCCGGCACGCAGGTTCTGCACGACGCTCACCTACTACGGCATCAGCCTGAACGTGTCGGGCGTGGGGCTCGACATGTACACGACGCAGTTCGTGTTCGGCGCCATCGAGGTGCCGGCCAAGATCATCATCTACGTGCTGCTGGAGCGAATCGGGAGGCGGCCGTGCCAGGTGGGCACGATGCTCGCCACGGGGGCCCTGCTTGCGCTCAGCATCTCCGTCCCCGCGAGTAAGCCGCACGAACGCCGCCGCACGATCGTCCAGCGCTTGATTTCAACCGGCCCCTGTTTGCGGTTTAATTGATGCGGCACCCATGCTCCAGGACCCTCGAGTTACCGATCAAGCCCCTGATCCAAGCCACCAATCCAGTTCAATGATCCAGAACCCTGGCACCAGACACTTGCGTTAGCTTCTGATCCTAATCCAATTCAATGAGCCAGAATCATTGGAACCAGAGCTTTTTAATGATGCAGAACTTTTGCACCAGACACTCGAGTTAGCACCTTAATCGACGGCTGGTCCAGTCTTTGAACCAGCCTCCTGTATGTTGAACTTCTTTCACACCATACATAGCCAACCATGCTCATCGGAGGTGTGGGGGAAGGACAACCAACGAAACGCAAAGCGGTTATAAAGAAATGAGTTTTCAATCTAGATTTAAAAGTGCATAGCTCCAGTGGCTTCCTAATATCATAAGGAATTAGGAAGACACTGGAGCTTCTGACCAGACCCCTTGGTCCAGCCCACACATCAGCCCTGAATCATGCAGCCCCTGATCCAGCCACTGGTGCAGCCCTTTCATCCAACGCCGAATCAGCCCCTGGTCAAGTTCTTGATCCAAAGTATCTTGTCCCTCCCAGCCCCAGACCAAGTTGTTGATCCAATCCCTGCACCTGGCGCGCCAGGCTGTCTCTCCGTGCGACTCGCACTGCGTTTTCCCCCTAGAATTCCGAGCACTGTATGGCCGATGCTCATCTGATGTCAGGTTTTATGTAGCAGTTAAAATACGGATGCTGCTGCTGATGATTATGATGGGGAAGCTGTTGATTCTGCGGATGAACATGTGGACTAGGCTGCTTGCTAAACAGAATGCCGGTGATGATGCTGCTGATCGTGATGAGTGTACTGCTGCTGTTGCTGCTGATGTCACTGCAGATGGGAATGATGACGCTTCTAGCTTCGACCAGTGCTGCTGCTGATGATGCTGCTCCGTCTTGTGCTTCTGCTGACACGTATGATGCTAATGATGCTATTAGGGGCCGTCCATAAATGACGTCACGCACCTAGGAGGGGGTCAGACATTTGTGACGATGTGTGATGAGGGGGGGGGGGGGGTTTGAGAAATGTGACGTCACATCAAAATGCGCAACTTTAAATAAATATAGAATTGTTATAACAACACTAATTGTTATAGCAACACTCCTACACCATCAGAGTGCCATTTAATACGCACTACAATAGTTTAAAGTGATTTAAAGCATGTTTTATATTCAAAATAGAAATATGGTTTTGGGGGGGGGGGGGCAGAGCTTTGTGACGTCATATTTGAGGGGGAGGGGTCTGACTTTTTGAAACGCCGTGTGACGATGGGGGGTGGGGGGGGGTCAAAAATCGTTCAAAATCGCGTGACGTCATTTATGGACGGCCCCTTTCCGAAAATGATGCTTCTGCTGCTGATTATGATGCAGCTGGTGATTGATGATGATCGTAAACAATGCAATTCTGGGCCAACTATTGGTTGCCGTTGGACCAACGTTGATCAGCCAACGTTGGCCCAACGTCGCACGTCGGACCAACGTTGATCAGCCAACGTTGGCCCAACGTTGATCAGCCAACGTTGGCCCAACGTTGATCAGCCAACGTTGGCCCAACGTCGCACGTTGACTGTGGGCCCCACGTGCGGCCTTGCGCCCCGCAGAGCTGTCACTGCTGAAGAGCGCGGCGGCCATCGCAGGGAAGGGCACGGCGGAGGCGGCCTTCACCACGGCGTATCTGCACGCCGCGGAGATATTCCCCACTTCCCTGCGGTGCTATGCCACCAAAATGAGCAAACGCCACGAGCAAACAACAACACCACCACCACTATCACGACCACCTACTCGTAACCAGGACATACCTGTCAACCCCCTTAATCAGTGCCCTATCTTATTACAGACCAGTTCAGACCTTATTGGTCACCCCGTGCCCCTTATAGATGTCAAAGTTCATCCCACAAAGTCCCATCACGAGGGAGAAACACAAAGAGGCAAAATATTTTTGCCCGCATTTCAACAGCTGTACGCCGTATGGACCTAAAAACTCAATTTCCCTGCACCAGACTACGGGGTAAACCATATGGGTTGACACGGTACGCAACACCAACAACAAGCGCCATTCACCACTAAGTGCCGGTGACGTCCCCACGGCGCTTGTGCCAGGCTAGGTGCACGTTAAGGCCACGTGAAGTGTCGAACTCCCGCTGGCAGGACGAGGATAACGGGACAGACCCAGCAGGTGCCATGGGGTCGACTTGCTGAGATGATTGACCGATGCACCACCTGTGCCCCCGACTGTGCCACCTAGTAACAATGCCATCACAACCACCGAAAAAACAAAGACAAAGATTCCCCCGTGTAGCCTCAACAGACTGTTGGGGCATGTGCTGTTAGCGAGTAGCACCTATGAAGGCCGGCACGGCACTCGAGAGTATGGGTGGCCAGCACCACGCCCGGCCGCCTTGTCTCCCCAGTAGCGGTGATGACACCACACCAGGCACTCATTTGAGGCTTAGTCGACCTAGGGGAAGCCCAGGACCGGTTTAGATAATAATCATTACTGGTATTGGCCGTGAGCCAAACCACTACACTACCGCTCCCCACAACCACCATAACCACCACGGCCACCCCTAGCAACAACCAACACCATCACAAACCACCACGAGCAACACCACCACAACTAGCAACAACACAACCAACACCACCACCATCATCAAAACCACCACTAGCAACGACACAACCAACACCACCATCATCAAAACCACCACTATCAACAACACAACCAACACCACCACCATCATCAAAACCACCACTAGCAACGACACAACCAACACCACCATCATCATAATCAAAACCACCACTAGCAACAACACAACCAACATCACCAGCATCATCAACACCACCACTAGCAACAACACAACCAACACCACCATCATCAAAACCACCACTAGCAACGACACAACCAACACCACCACCATCATCAGAACCACCACTAGCAACAACACAACCAACACCACCACCATCATCAAAACCATCACTAGCAACAACACAACCAACATCACCACCACCATCATCAAAACCATCACTAGCAACGACACAACCAACACCACCATCATCAAAACCACCACTAGCAACAACACAACCAACACCACCACCATCATCAAAACCACCACTAACAACAACACAACCAACACCACCATCATCAAAACCACCACTAGCAACAACACAACCAACACCACCACCATCATCAAACCCATCACTAGCAACAACACAACCAACATCACCACCACCATCATCAAAACCATCACTAGCAACGACACAACCAACACCACCATCATCAAAACCACCACTAGCAACAACACAACCAACACCACCACCATCATCAAAACCACCACTAACAACAACACAACCAACATCACCACCACCATCATCAAAACCACCAACACCACCATCATCAAAACCACCACTAGCAACAACACAACCAACACCACCACCATCATCAAAACCACCACTAACAACAACACAACCAACATCACCACCACCATCATCAAAACCACCACTAGCAACGACACAACCAACACCACCATCATCATAATCAAAACCACCACTAGCAACAACACAACCAACATCACCAGCATCATCAACACCACCACTAGCAACAACACAACCAACACCACCATCATCAAAACCACCACTAGCAACGACACAACCAACACCACCATCATCAAAACCACCACTAGCAACAACACAACCAACACCACCACCATCATCAAAACCATCACTAGCAACAACACAACCAACACCACCATCATCATAATCAAAACCACCACTAGCAACAACACAACCAACACCACCACCATCATCAAAACCACCACTAACAACAACACAACCAACATCACCACCACCATCATCAAAACCACCACTAGCAACGACACAACCAACACCACCATCATCAAAACCACCACTAGCAACAACACAACCAACACCACCACCATCATCAAAACCAACACTAACAACAACACAACCAACATCACCACCATCATCAGAACCACCACTAGCAACAACACAACCAACACCACCACCATCATCAAAACCACCACTAACAACAACACAACCAACATCACCACCATGATCAAAACCACCACTAGCAACAACACAACCAACACCACCACCATCATCAAAACCACCACTAACAACAACACAACCAACATCACCACCACCATGATCAAACCCACCACTAGCAACAACACAACCACCATCATCAGAACCACCACCACCATGACAAGACTCATTCTCTGTATCTTGTCCCTCTCGTGCCCCACCACCGACAGACAAAACGGCCTGGGCTACGTCTGCACCATGGCTCGCCTGGGCGGCACCGTGGCCCCCCTGGCGGCGCTCCTCGCCGACGCGTGGCCCTCGCTGCCGGGCCTCCTGTACGGCGCCGTGGCCTTCGCCGGAGGCCTCGCGGCTCTGCTGCTGCCCGAGACGAGGGGCGCGGAGCTCCCAGAGACTCTCAGCGACGTGGAGAGCGACGCGAGGTGGCCCCGTGGCGCAGACGGCCGCGGTGGCCGCGGGGGTCACGGGGGAGGCGGCACACGCGACGGGATGGACTTGGGGGGCGATGCAAGGTCAGCGTGGAGGAGACGGCAGTCTTTTTGTTTTCATCCAAAGATCACTTTCCCATTGTCGTCATCACCACCACCACCGTGTTTTTCAACATCGCCGTCATTGTCTTCGTTGTCGCCCTCGTCGTAATCATCATTGTCTGTTGGTGTCGCGGTCATCATCGTTATTGTCATCTTCATCAGCCATCGTCATTGTCACGCTCATTATCCTCATCATCGTCATCATTGTCATCATCATTGTTGTTCATCATCATTGTTGTTCATCATCATCGTCATAATCATCATTGTTGTGCACGTCATCGTCACATCATTGTCACGTCGTCATAATCATCGCTGCAATAATTGACATTGTTGGAATCGCGCCTGTCGTTGTAATTGTCATCAACAACATCGTCGTCATTGTCGCCACCACTATTGCCGTCACCAACACCGGCATTATCGTTGTCACAGTCCATCGTCGCCATCGTCGCCATCCTCATCGCCATCGTCGCCATCCTCATCGCCATCGTCATGGGGCTGGAGTGCCGACGCGCGCTCGCGATGTCGCACTCTGGGAGGCAAAGGGTCGGTGGATCACCCACACATCCGTGGAATTCTCAAGCGGACTGGTCTGGGTGGTAGCCAGCATATTAACCGCTCTCACCGATTGAAAAGATGGACACTGGCAAAGGAAACGGAACCAAAACTGAAAGGTGTGCACAATTAGGAATGCACGGATCAGAAAACTAATGCAATTTGGAGACGCTTTGACTGTTAAGAAAGGTGGCTTGGTCAGTGTTAGTGTTGATGATGACGGTGGTGGTGACGCTACTGATAATGATGATATCGATGCTGCTGATGATGATGATACTGCACTGAGTCGACTCTGGCCGACGTCTTTCTCCGCCCCCCCCCTCTTCTACCTCCCCGCCCCTGATGCAGATCGGCAGGGCCCCCTAAGGAGGACCAGGTCAGCTTGCAGGACCTGACCCCAACCGAGCCAGGGCAGGACCACTGGGACGGAACATCTGCAAGCGCAGATGTTGGGCATCACCGTCGCTTGGACGAGAACCACTCCACAGACACGGAGCGCGGCGTGCGCCTCTAAAGTCTGGCGGCGGAGGAAGTCAGCCACTCTCATCGGTACTGGGAGCCCTGGCTTGCAGGCTCGCTGGCGGGACGGTGTTTGCAGGGCTGCGACCCGTCTTCTTGTTCGATCTTTAACGCGCCGGTGTCGTTCTTCAACATATTCTTTGGGACTTTCGGTAGAGTCACATAGATAGGTTCAAAGAAAAGAACAACAAAAAAAGTACGACGTTTCGATCGCAACAAAAAAAGTACGACGTTTCGATCGCAACACAAGCGTTGCGATCGAAACGTCGTGGTTTTTTGTTATTTTCTTTGAACCTATCTACGTGACTTTACCGAAAGACCCAAAGAATATGAATTCCTGCAGTCACGAAAGCTTTAAGTCAAGATTCTTCAACATCTTGACCGGCTTGCATGCAGAAAGTCTGCCTGCGCCTGACAAAACTGTGGGATGCTCCTTTTTTTTTTACACCCGTGCTATGACCGTCGTGTTTTACGTTTTACACGGGGCCTTCTCCGGTCACTCCGGTCGATACGAAAAGTGATTGCTCATCGGTCACGTTTGCTCTGCGTTGAGGCGCGGATCGCTTCCCCCGGGGAACCACGGCGTGCGATTTCCGAACCAACCGCCCCGTCACCTTCCTTACCCTTCACCAAGCTGCACTGCCCAGCGTGTTTAAGCGCTCGCACACAACGAGGGAGCTCTTCATCTGGCGGTCGATTAAATAAATAACCAGAAAGGCTGAACTGTGACAAATCTGACTCTCGCTTGTTCTTGTCATCGCAAAGGCAAAATGCAGCCGAGCCGAAGTAGCAGCACCTGCGCGCGGGCCCTGCAATGCCGCTACTTCCAACGGTCTAAAAATTCACGTTTCTCAATAATATATACAGCTGTGTGAAAATGAACGTAGTGTTACTACTATAATGAGCCAAGAATGTTTGTGTGTAACGCGCGTGACGTCACTCCACGTGCCGCCCCCCCCCACCCCCCCCGTTATTAATATTCATGAGCGGGTGGATTATTACACTGGCGCAGAAGAAGGTGGAACGGAAAGACATTTTTATTTTCGCAAATTCACTTTAAGTTTGACGTTTCTTTGTTGAAAGTGAATGTAATAAATAATTCTACGCAGCAACAAAGTGGATTTGGTGTCTTTATGTATTTCTTCAGCATATTCTTTGGTTCTTTCGGTAAAGTCACGTAGATAGAAAAATAATAATAAAAAATAAAGTGACTAAAATAAAAAAAAACATTTTACTTAACTTTTGTGACTGCAATAAATCATATTCCTTGGTTCTTTCGGTAAAGTCACATAGATAGAAAAAAATTAAACAACAAAAAACACTAATGTAGACTTAGCCTGGTTCTTAATCGGAGTGAGTGTGCTGGCACTCACCGAGGTTAAGAACCAGGCTACAGTCTGCATTATAGACTGCCAGTACACTCACCCAAATTAATAACCATTGCTACAGTCTACATTATAGACTGCCAGTACACTCACCCAAATTAAAAACCATTGCTACAGTCTACATTATAGACTGCCAGTACACTCACCAAACTTAATAACCAGGCTACAGTCTACATTATAGACTGCCAGTACACGCACTCCGATTAAAAACCAGCCTACCGTGTAAATTAGTGTTTTTTTGTCGTTTTTCTTTTTAACTTTATATTTTATTATTTTTCTATCTACGTTGACTTTACCGAAAGAACCAAAGAATATTATTTGCTGCAGTCACGAAAGTTTTAAGTCAAAATTTCTTCAGCACTTGAGACAAAAGGTAAGTCAAATGTATGCTTCTACATTATGGTCAAATTGACATTTCTCGGTGATTTTCCAGATATTGTATCGATTTCCAATTTATTTCAACCCCAGCGACCGAAAGCAGAAGATAATAAAGTATTAGAGCAGTGAATTTGAACAAATTGAAGGTCCGTTATATACAGTGCTACAGTGACATGAAGTGAGGTGTTTTATGATGTAGTTTTGTGCAAGACTTACTGCCATTAAATTTACACAAGATACAATTATACTCTGCTCAATTTTTTCGTAAATATTGCAGCTTCCGTCCTAGGACGGGCAAACAGGCTAGTTGTATTCAGAGTTGGGCGATTCAATTGTTTAAGTTTACCGATTATCATCGGTTCAATTACTCGACTAATCGAATGACACAAAAATAGTTGGTGGGGGGGGGGGAGTATCATCTCTGTTCGCACATGTGCCGCTGGACGGGAGGTGATGGGGATGCCTTGGTGACATCATCGACTGATTGACAACATCGGCATGAACGGCGTCATGTTGGAAGTGCCTTGTAGGTAGTTTCTCGCCATCAGGAGGCACGATGCAGTGGTAGATGCCGTTTTTTTCCATAAAGGAGGTCCAGGTCATTATCAATCACAAGAAAGTAGTCGGTTACAAACGCTGTTCGATTCGTTGGCTTAGTTTGCCAGTCGTTTCAGCTCTAAACATATCCAACGCTCAAGGTTTTGCGTTGGAATTGAAGATTTGCAGAAAGGAACCACGAGAGGGCAGCAAATTGTTTCGGCTGCTTCGACTCGACATCCAGAGACGTCATATTCAGAGCCTTGGCATCCAGACACTTGGCATCCAGAGACTTAATATCCAGACTTGACATCCAGACAATTGACACCCACTCACCCAGAGCACTTGGCATCCAGACATTTGACATCCAGACTTAATATTCAGAGACTTGAAATCCAGAGACTTGACATCCAGAGATGGCTGTGGTGGACTCGAGGCGTGAGTGAATGATTAAAGGAAATTCGAATGTATGTTCAACTTCTTTCGCACCGTACGTAGCCAACCGTGCTAATCTGTGGTGCGAGAATGGTTTGTTCGAAGGGATAGAAAGCGGACATTTTCCACTGACGAGTCTGTACCTCCGATCAGCACGGTTTAACTACGTATGGCGCAAAAGAAGTTCAACATGTACTTGTTTATTATCCACGGCAGCGCAAATTAACTTGTGTATGCCGTTGTTTTAAGGATGTCCTAGTCGGGGCAAATGACTTTGGGGGTGGGGTCTGACTGTGTATTGTTGACCCACCAGGAGAATTGTGGCGTGGGAGGTAGGCAGTCGCACACCACCTATAATTAAGGGAGTCGATCCCATTGGATACATTTTGCATGCGTGGATAATTACAGGTCCTGGGTGACTGGTTAATAATGCCAGTCGGGCGAGAGATGGCAGTAAAAGCTGAGCTCGATTAGTCTCGACTGGGCTAGAGAAGAGTGCATGGGAGGGGGGGGGGGTCGTCTATTACCGCAGGAGGCTAATGCTTGTGATGTAAGCCATTATCGTTAGCAATTATAAGTAGGGAATCACGGTAGCAGTATTGCGCAGTGCTCTTCCGCATATCAATCATTCATCACATTAATCTATGGACAGTATTACTGGTAGGAACCTCCTGGTTACACCAGCCCACAGGGGATTATTGTGTCCGTCTGTCGTGCAGGGAGGGGCTGGGTGGGGAGGGGCTGGGTGAGGGGTGGGGCTGGGTGGGGAGGGGCTGGTCACCCCGTGGTGCCCTTATAAAACTCAACGTTTAACCTACTCACGCCGGCTTGTGCCCGCCCTGTCGGGCATATTTGCGGAATACACCACGTCGCCGTTGACCCTGCCCATTGACCGAGCAACCCAACGTTCCTACCAGCTCCCTCCGCAGCAGGAAGGTGTTCAATCGTTCCCGCACCTCCGATTACCAAGGTTGGCTACATACGGTGCGGAAGTAGTTCAACATACGTACGTTCTACAAGTCCAGATTGTGCTCGATTGGGATTTAAGGGAAAAACTAAACTTGAATGGGGACTGTGAAATGATCAACACTCTCCACTTGGGGTGTCCGTGGCTGGTGACGTTAAACGCGCCAAATGGTGCATTTCTCAATTTAATTAGGAGCAATACAAGTGGAGAAAACATCGGTGGTGTTTATGTAGGTGTATATTGATACATGCGTGAACCTAGTCTGTTTTTTAAGATCACACTACATCAATCAAATCCCATGAGAATCGATGCTTTGGATTCGTGTGTTACATGTGTAATGATGCCCAGATTAATATTGCTCAAGGTTCATGATATATGTGCCGCATAAGATGGGTTTAGTTTAACTGTTCAACAAGGTCAGACCTCACGAGACCCAGGGTATTCTGATTTCCAAGTGACTTGTCACCAAGTTATGAATGCGTTATTTTTGGGTTATGCAAATTGTATAACATTAAAGACTGATGGAGCGAGCTCAGCTGCAATCGAGACCGAGTGAGAAACGATACACGAGAAGGTAAAATTCTACAAAAGATATTTGATTCTTGAGTGTAATCACGTCCCTGAATCGTGCGAATTGAATCCCTTGGGGGAACTCGTTAAACGCAGAAAATATGCTGTATCGCAATTGGGTTCACGTAATCCCAGGAGCCACTGGAGGTGATACCATTTGCCCGCAATCTATTATATCGCTGGCCTAATATGGATTGGTCAATGTCATGAAGCCACCCCACCATTGTACACCGACTGCTGCGCTCATTCCCAGCAGCCAGCGGGTGCATTGAGTGTGCAGTGATTTAATTCGATTATCAATAAAATATTGGTAATCACAAAGTGGACCGTTGGAGGTGTCGAGGACTGGAGTTGAGACGCTGCTCGCCGCCAAATGAATCCAAGTTGCTGTTGAATAAACCTGGAATTCGTCAGCAGGTTAAACAAGCTTCCGTTTTATTCATAGTTACTCATGGCTCTGCAAGCCGAACTGCCAACAGCATTGAAATAAAACGTCCGTTTAATAGTCTGTGTTCAAAAATGTTGCGTGCACACGAATGGCTGTGTAACACACACAGATATATGCCCTGCGAGCGCACTGTAAACACCAGTGAAAAGCCAATAAACAAAAGTGGTTCTGTTTTTTTTTTTGCGGAGGGTGGTGCAAACCTGCCAATTGTTGGGAGGACACGAGCCATCCGAACCCGAGCCATAGCCCTGACCCCCGACAACCCGAGCCCCACCTCTGGCACGCTGCCTGGCCCCCTTTATAACTTTTGTTCGATTTTCACCTTTGGTGTTTGCAGTCCCGAACGATATCTACACAAAGGCGCACGGTATATCATGACAAGACAGCGTGGCGAAGGTACATTACCCTTAGAGTGTGTGCACAGAGATGAAGCGCATCACATTGGCGATTTGCCCCATTGTCGTTTATGGGACAACGAACACGGACGCTTGAATCAAGTGTGACTGTGTGTGTGTGCGCGCGAGTGCCTGCACCATCAGTCACATATTTGTGTTTATTATACAGGCTCAGCCTCGCAAGATACGCGCATGAGCGAGCGTTGGTGTACATGCGCACGTGGCTAGGGTTGCCACCTCCTGAGGTACAAAAAAAAACAATGGGAAGCAGAATATTTCACAATACCGACAGAGACCTTGCACGGAAAGGCAGTCTTGAATGTCCCAATTAACGACTTACAGATTTCCCGGGACAGCTGCTTCAACACAGAACAATCCTGGGAAAACCAGGACAGGCGGCGACTCTGGTACTCCTCCGTGTGCCACGCTAAACAGGCGTGGCGGGCTTGATGAGCGATCCCTTGGCGGCGTAGTTCTTGATCGGGGGCAGCGGCCGGATCTTGCGACCGGCCCAGCCGCCCTTGCGCTGCCACAGGCCGCTCTGCGGCCGTCGGCCAAAGCGCCGGTTGCGCCCGGCCTTGCCGATGGGCTCCTCGTTGTGGTCGACGCGCGACACACGGCCCACCGTCGCCATGCATGTCTCCGCCACCTGCAGGGGTGCGCGATGGGCAGAGGAGGTTAGCACACGTCCTGGGTGGCTTGGTGCAGATGCTGGGGTCTAACAGTCGAAGCAAAGCGGTATATTTGCCTGCAATAATATTGCGAAGAGCCGTGGGTAATTAAAATGAAAAGACACTTGTGAAAAATGTCGTTAACGCTGTCTGAAAATACTGCAACACCATTGTCATGAATACTGTCTTTCGACTGGTATATATGTAAAACGTAATGTTTTATCGAACTTTGGCCCTTAGAATAAGCCACATTTACAAAGGTGGTGCACAGAAAGTGCTGGAAACCAACAAAACTGGTTCATGAACAACCTTCATTTGGTCCGTCCCATTTGATCATCCTCAGCCAGAATCTATCCACTGCTGGATTAAGGCCTTCCCCCAATCCATCAAAGTTCTCCATACATTTCCATACTTCTGATCCACATGTCTGCAGCCACGTGGCTCTCCAACAAGAAACTTAAATCAAAATTACGTTTAAATATTCTCTATTGCGGATACCGAAATATCTTCTTGAACATCTGTTCTTGCCTGAATCTGATGTTTGGACGGCAGCTGGATGATGGCAGTTCCTTCCACTTTCCTGATGAGCAACCCGCACGTTCCTGCAACACACACGCACGACAGTCTTACTTCGCCTGGGGGGTAGGAGGGAGCTACTCGTCACTTGCCGACGAATAACCGAATCGCCGATGTCGGGTTGGGTGGCTGGGACGGTGGGTGCGATTCTGTGGCATGGCCCACAATTCTGCGCCCTTACCGGCCGCACGGATGAGCTGGGCGCCGGCGCCGGGCTTCACCTCCAGGTTGTTGATGAGGGTCCCCACCGGGAGCGCCCCCACGGGGTAAGCGTCCCCCTCGTGCGCCAGCACTACGCACGGAGTGAGGGGACGAGCAGGGGTAGGGGTGGCAAACGGAGAGCGACGGTGTGAGCGAGCGGGAGCAAGATGGGAGTTGGGGGGGGGCGGTGGAACTGACGGATTGGAAAGCGAGTAGGCAAGGGGAATGAGATGTAAGGAATGAGTAAGGGCCAATTTAAAGGGATGCCAAAGCAGACGGAGAAGTGGGCTCATTAAAACCCGGGAGTTATGCTAATGAGCTCATTATAAGCCGCAGATGAGAATGTTCTAGGCTCCTCGTTGATGTTAAAGGGAGATGCAACTCAACAAGATAGCTTTCATTTTCCAGATACAAACCTGAGCTGACGCGAGATTAAACCGCCATTAATGAAGATTTAAAAATGCATTTAACAAGCGCTTTCGTGATTCCACTGCAATGACGCATTAAAATTTTGACAAATCACACCGATGTGATGTCGCTAGAGCACTTTAAAGGATTTTTTTTCCTTTAATTAACGATGTTTCGATCTCGTGTCGGACGGCCAAGGCACACACAACCCATCTAAGACAGCGATTTATTACTGTGCTGCGTGGTCCTTTAAATGTCATTAGCCGTGAATGCAGGCATCTGTAATGCACATGGGTGCACAACAGCTCCGTATCATTGCGATTTGGTGTCTCAGGCTGGCATTTTTAGTCAGCATTGATTAATTATTTTAGACAGCCTTAGATGAGTAGACGACAACCCGGAAACTTGCAGTCGAACCTCGATTTGTGGATTGTCATCATTGACTGAAAGAAAATGCACTTCATTTCAGATTATCTCCGTCACCAACTTTGTTTGTGAAATTAACACTGCACATCACCTGCCATCCGCCCTATGAAGCCTGACGTCTTGATGACGTCACCAGGCTGCATGCTTTGGGTGGCAATGATCCAGCGCTTGTGCGTTCCGCCCGCCACGAGTGCGATGTCTGCAGACCTGAAACGACATCGGACACGCAAGATCTCACCGTGGCTGTCTAACACTGACCCGGGTCTTGTGTGCCAAGCTCCTCGGATTTGTTATGCAAACGACAGGCTTCTTACAGTCATCAGATTGTGTTGAAGAACTGCTCTCGAAGATGACGTGAAATATTCCGAGGACCTCTCATCAACACGACAAAAATATTTACCATGACAAGCACCCAGATTTTTCAGTGGGATGGGATAAAAAAATTCAGTGCTCACCCAAACCTAAATTATTTGTACATGAACCGGGTGTAATCTAAGGTGTGTGTGCACAATGGCTTCGAAACCAGGTTCTCAGCTGTGCTGGCTCTGTTACCCTTAAGTCAAGTGTATCCTTATGCGAATGGGCCCTCTCTTCAGGATAACACTTTCAACTAAAATACATTAAATGTCCCAGATGCTGCATCGTACGTATTTATGTTTAACTTCTTTCCAACCATACGTAGCCAACCGTGCTAATGGGAGGTGCGATGTAGGTGAGCCAACTCACCTTAGCGGGTCGTAGCGCACCTCCATCACCTTCTCCTCCATCACCGTCTTGTTCTCATCCAGGCGACCGGCCATCAATCCCACCGGCAGCCGCTTGAAGTCGATCATGCGGTAGCATTGCCGGTGACCGCCACCGATGCCGTGCGTTCGGATCCGGCCTACCGGGTGGGCGGTGTTGTCGAGAAGGGTGGGAGAAGTTTACAGATGTAAAGCAGGTCACTCTTTAGTCTGCATGGTGGGTTTTATCTGTGAATTCTAGTTTTTTTCCACATGGAATTATGCAGGAGCCCCCCCTTTAAAGACTTTCGACTCGGCGAGGCATTCCTGGATAAATTATGCTATTGTTCGTTCACTGTTTGTCTTTGACAAGACAGACACGAGCCATGTAATATCCATTCACTTACTCAAACAACACAATAAATTAATCCCTCAAGCTCTTATTTTTAAGTCTGTTGGCTTAATTTTTATGTATTTTGAAAAATACAGGAATAAATTATTCACATTGAGAATTTATCCCAATGCCAATGCAAACGCAACAAATAAACAAACGTGAATACACGAATGCATCCTGCAATTGATCACACTTGGGCTGCATCCAAATCAGTTTGGTGGCAAAGGCAGAAACACAGTTGCGGAGAGAAGCTATAGACTGAAATCGTCCATAATATGGAAGGACCCACATCCCACCACCTTGAACGACAAGACCATCGCGTAGTACGTCACCTGTGTGGTCCCTCCCGCCCGTCTTCTTCCTGCCGATGGGCCGGATGGTGTACGTTTTATTCTTCTTCCAGATGGCCTTGTACACGTGGAGCTCCGTGGTCGTGTGGAAGCCCTGGGCAGGAGGACCCAGCGCCATGGCCTCGACACCACTCGCAGCGAGGCCGCTCTCTAGGATCCCTCGCCTCGCCGTAATCCGCGCGGCCAGACTCCGACACCACGCGGCGGCGCTGCTACTGCTGCTGCTGTAGCTGCTACTCACGACTATGGAGGAGGTGATGGAGCGGTGGTGAGCGAGGAGTCGCGGGCCCTGGGTGCCCGCACGTGCTGTGGTGGTTGGGAGAGCCAGGGTGATCGCCCGCAGGCCCCGCGAAGCAAGGGCATACAGCGACATGGCTGGGGCTGCAGGCGATTCCCTCTCGGCGGTTGCTGCTGTTGAATGAGACACGAGGAACTGTCAGTGTGGGGATGGCATTGAGCAATGTCGTCGGTTATCGCGGTCTTGCTCTGTGCTGTGTTACAACGGAGGGGCGGTTAATTTAAAAAAACGACGTACTCGATGCGAAACACACAATATGGATTTATAGATGGCGTTTCTAAATGAGACCGCATTTTAAGACGTTGTAGAGAGTATGCATGCATATTAATAGTATTTTTTCTGACCTGCCTCTACGAGACATCTGTGAAAAAGAGCTTTATAGCTCATCGGATTCCCCCAGTATAAAGATTCTGGATTCTGATTTTGTAGAAAGAGGCAGTCATTCATATGCAGAGAAACAAAACGGCAAGGAGGTCATGAGCCTGCACTTGAATAGGAATTGACAGCACAGATGACTTGGGGGGGGGGGGGGGGGCTGCAGACTCCGGCAGTGGATGAAATCGAGGGATCAGGTTTTTGTTATCTCTCACCCAGGTGCAATGTTGGCATTGCTTGAATATGCCTTGCGACTGCTGTTGTCATAAACAGTCTTACAACTGGTGTATGTATAATGAATATTGAGCTGAACAATCACCCGTCCTTGGAACACAAAAAACACAGATCTATTGAGCCTCATATTTGGGACACGGCAAATGACAACGGTGCATGGAAAGCACTCGGAACCTAGGAGACAGCAGTTTCATGAACAACCTTCAATTTAATAGCTGTCGCATAGAGCAAACCAACTTAAAAGACTGCAATTAAATATCATTATACCGCCCGCATAAATATGCCTCCCGTGCCGAGACACTCTAAGGCAATGGGACGGAAATTACAAATCCCCATTGTGACGGACAGTCTCAACATTGGACAAAGCTCCGTCTCTCTGTTTAACACGTAGGCTTTCGCGACCAATATCATCCATAAAAAGAGGTTGTTTTGGGTTAGATCGCGTAAATGTGTCGTTAAACCCGCCACCACCCGAAACAAATCTGGCTGTCGCCTGATGAAGCTAGTTGTAATTACTGGCGAAACGTCGTACTCGGATTGTAAATGTTGCGGCTTGGGGTTCTCCAACACACCGGTGGTGCTGTACGAGTGACGAATTGGCCACGTTCTGTTTACGTGACAACCCTCCGTCTCTACAGCTCTCGTTCTGTGACCGTCTCTCTCTGCCTGTCCCTCTCGTCTCTTGTTTCCCCTCCTCACTTCGTCTCCCTCTCCCCTGTCTCTTTCCGTGTCTATGTCCCTGTGTGTGTCTCTGTCTCTGCCCGCGTCTCATCTCACGAGCACGTTACCACCACCTCACCCATGAGCCCGTCTCTTTGTTTGTCGTCTCCGCGTCCCCTCGTGTACCTCTGCCCAAGTCTCTCCGTGTCTTTGCATATCTCGTGTACCGGTCTTAACGTCGATAGGTAGGTCTACGTCGATACAAGTACCTCTATTATCTCTGCAGAAAACTCTCGCGCCGTTTGCACAGGCGGGTTTGGGGCTACGCTAACTTAGTGCCGAGACGGCATTCGTGATTCAGTAGGCGCACAGCAACCAGCAGCGCTTAACCCGTAAACAAACGAGGCCTCGGTGACAGCATCGGATATTTTATTCAATGTTAATTACAAACATCAACTTCACCTTCAGCGGCGCTCGCCAACACCCCGGAGCCTCGGGTGCAAGAGCCGCGATATGGCGCGTGAACAAAACAGGATCGCGTTGTGACAAAAAAATAACTCAATAAAATGTTAAAACTTTAAGGGGAAATGTTTTTTGGTTTAAAAGCGAAGGTCAGAGCCGGCGCATCGAGCAACGCGTGCGCATTAGCAGGGGGCGGCCATTGCGACCCGGAAGCATTCGCGCCACGTGGTTTGGTGGTGGTGGGGGTGGGGGGGTCACAGTGGTGGGGAGCGGTGGGTGTAGTGGTTAGCGCTGCGCTGCGCTACGAACCCGGCTACCCGGGTTCGATTCCCGCTCACGGCCACCAACACCAGTGACGATTGTCTGAACCGGTCCTGGGCCTCCCCTAGGTCGACTCAGCCTCAAATGAGTACCTGGTGCGACGTGTAAACATCGCCACTGGGGAGACAAAGGCGGCCGGGCGTGGTGCTGGTCACCCACCCCCCTCGTGTACCGTTCCGGCCTTCATAGGTGCTCGCTAACAGCACTTGCCCCGACAGTCTGCTAAGGCTATACGGGGGATCTTTGTCTTTGGGGGGTCACAGTGTAAGCGGTGTGACTGGTGGGGTAAAGTGTGGGTCAACGTCTGTTCGTTTATAGGCCATTTAGTCACTCCACTGCTAGATGAGGACTTCCATACACCATGCGGAATCGTGGGGGGGGTTCACCATACTTCACCACGCCGGTCATGTCGGGATTGGTGAATTTGCCGCTTGTGGGTTGCAAAAAAGTGCAGCACAGCGAACGATTTGTCTGCACCGATGCCACCACATCTCGTGGTGGCATTGATCAGTCGTGTGGATGTATCGGCGAGCTCCCCCTCGTGTTCTCTGTCGCCTTGAGCGCCGCGGTGACGAATGTTAACTCCATCGCCAGGTATGCAAGGAGGTCGTGGGTTCGACCCTGACCTTGACCCCCCCCCCTGTTGTGTGTTTGGAGTCTGCATGTTGTCACGATCTCTCCCCTTGGTCGCGTGGATTTTTATCGTGGTCCTCTGGTTTTTTTTACCCCCCCTCCACATTTAGAATGAACATCTCGCGTTAGCGAGAGCATTTTGTCTTGCTCTAAATGTCCACACGATGATGAACCACTTCGCTGAGCTGTCATTTGCATTATAGCTACGTGGGCCTCACGTGGTAAAATATAACAACAAAAACACAATTTTGATTTAAAGCTTTCGTGACTGCAAGGATTCATATTCTTGGTTCATTCGGTAAAGTCACGTAGAAGGGAAATACTAAAATAATATAAAACAATACAAATGCTCACGACGTTTCGACTGCAACACAAGCAATCATCAGTTGTGAAATCCACAGCAAGAAAATGTGAAAACCCGCCACTTGTTTCTAATTTTCTTGCTGTGGATTTCACACCTGATGACGATTGCTTGTGTTGCAGTCGAAACTTCGTGAGAATTTTTATTGTTTTATATTTATATTATTTTAGTATTTCCCTTCTGCATGACTTTACCGAAAGAACCAAGAACAACAAAAACACAATTTAGTTTAAACGTAATTGTTAATTTTCTCTCCGTCATTAACTTTTCTCCAAGCCGACAACAACGCTGCACCACACAGCGGCTACTTACAAGCGACCCACGCCTCGCTGTGTTCTATAAATAGACATGACGTAATGTCGGAGCCGCGTCGGCGTGATGTCGTCATCCGCAGTGCGTAAAAAAACGCGATGACGTCACACGCGGCGGCTGCGCTTTAGCGGATGATGTAATGCGCTCGATCGGTGCGCGGTGACGTCACGGCAGCCTGCAGGATCGATTTTCTCAAAATGTTGAAAATCTCCTTCGGGTCACCGAGCAAAAGCCCGCGGGAGTGTGCGGTGGCCAATTAATCGATTACTTAACGATGCGCATCGCCTCGCGTGTGGACGGGTTCATTGAAAAGCCTGCAGCAACGAGCGATCGTAACTGCTTCCCAAGTGCCGAAGAAAATATCGATTCGTGATCCGTGGATTTCGGTTTAGAAATCGATTATTGATTTTGTTGTCGTTGCGCCGATGCGAACGGCTGCAGGGGTAAACCCGACGCTGTATTGTGATTCGAAACGTAAAAGAATCGTCCACGATACAGCTAATCGATTATAACGTGCGCGATTCTACGCGTCCGCGTCTAAAGCTTTAAAAAATCGACGCCGTCGATTGGAGAATCGAAACCCGCCGCCGCCGCTCTGACGCGATGACGTCGACGTCGATAGCCCCGCCCCCGCCCCGCCCCCGCCCCGCTCTCTTCTACCGTGCGTGGTGACGTCACGTTCGCGACGCGCCTGACCGACGCGATGACGTCACGACGCCGGGCGGAGGGCGTGGAACGAGTAGGAGGTGGTGGTGTTTGGCGGCGGCGGTGCTGGTGCTGCTGGTCGTGGTGACATGAGCCGCGGTGCGACTCTGGCGAGCGATTGAAGCCGCCCTCGCTGCGTGTGCGACGACGAGGTGACGTGAGGAGGAGGACGACGAGGAGCAGGAGGGGGACGAGGCGAAGGCGGCGGCGAGGGAGAGGAGACGCGGAGCGACAAAACCCCGGCAGCGTTCGCCCCGCGGTGTTTGGAGAGGGAGCTGCGGTGGAGGGCGCCGCGGGGTTCGAGACGACCTGACGAGGTGACGGGAGGAGGGGGGGTGGGCAAGGAGAGGGGTGACGGAGGAGGTGGACGTTGCATGTGGTGATGGAGGCAGGAGGAGGTGGTGGTGGTGGTTGGAGGCAGAGGAGTCAAAGTGACGGCAGAGGCTGAGAAACGAGGGAAGCGTGGAGAGGAGGAGGTGGTGGAGGAGGAGGAGGAGGGTTTGGGGAAGAGGGTGGAGTTGTTGGAAGGATGTTGGAGGAGGCGGTGTAAGTGGCAGAACAACTTGGAGAAAGACGAGGTGGGAGAGGGGGGTGGTGGGAGTAGCTCTTGCGGTAGATGCAGATGGTTGGAGGGGGGGTAATAGAGGAGGTGGCGTTGTAGGAGGATGCGACGATGGAAGAAGAGGTGAGATAGGGATGCGGTGGAGTTTGGAGACGATTGAGCCACATGGAGATGATGGAGGTTGATGGGGTTGGGGGGGGAAGTCGTCAGGATTACCTGGAGCGAGAGGTGAGGTTCGGGGACTGATTTACTAGGAGGCAGCTTGTGGCCGATGTTGATGATCACGGTGTTGCAAATGTTTAAGATCTGTTTAAAAAACTAAACATTGTCGATCGTGATGATAACAAACATGGAAAATAACCTATTTTTCATCATACATATCTCGAATTCACCGCAAATCTCAGCATCCCCTCCCACAGCATGAATCACGGCGGTACATTGTGGCTGCGATGGTCGTGTCCATGGTTCTTGGCAATGGATCGATGTTGTTAGCTTCTGTGATCTCTCTCTCCCTCTACGCCACCACCCTCCCATTACAACTCAACGCTACCGCCTCCGGCAAAGGGGACCGCCGTCCTAGTTAATGATGTGACGATTAATCAAGGCAATTAAGGATCGTGACTTGGCGTCTGCTGGGGCGGAGAAAGAGGGCCCCATGTGCTGGGGGAGGTTCCTCGTCTTCCTCCCTCATCCTCGGTAGTCCACTGGAAGATCTCCCGGGACCGCGTTAGTAATTTTAAAGTGCAATTACCGCAAGCTACGGATGTCAGTGGACATGCGTCGCTTTTGATTTAATGGGGGCACGGCGTGTCTCTAGATTGTCTAGATGTTGGATTTTTATCCTTTGAAGTAACTCGTGTGTCTTTGTATTTGTACGTGGTTATATTTACGCATGTCACTGTACTGGCGTGTGTGCACTATGACTGATCCCCCCCCCGTCTGCAGGCGAGCTGTTGACACTGGCACATGGCCTCAAAGTGCACCTAGCCTGGCACAAGCGCTGTGGTTGCACTGGAAATTATTACCTGGCCCCCGTGGCTGGACAGCAGCACTGGGGAGACCAAGGCGGCCAGGGGTGGTGCTGACCTATTGGTGCACTGTACCGTCATTTAAAAGGTTATTCCTTTAAAGGTTCTTGCATTTGCCCCAGCAGTCTGTTAAAGGATACACGGGGGGGACCTTGGTCCGTATCTGTAGGTGTTACTGTGAGTTTTTTTGTGTTGGCTTGATTGTGTACTGTTTGTTTATCTGTGGGTGTCTAAATTACATTGTGCGTGGAGTGTATTCACTTTGGTGCGTGTCACTTTGTGTGTCATTGGAAGGGGGAGCGGTCGTGTAGTCGCTGGCACCCGTGACGATTATCTAAACTAGTCCTGGGCCTCCCTTAGGTCGACTTGGCCTCGAATGAGTACCTGGTGCGTTCGTTGTTAAACATCGCCACGAGGGAGACAAAGCCGACCGTGCGTGGTTCTGGCCAGAAAATCTCAGGTGTGCTTAACCGGCCTTCACGAGTGATCGCTAACACCACTTGTCCCCACGGCCTGTGGGTATAGGCTATACGGGGGATCTTTGACCTCGTCATCATTGTTCACATCTGTGTGTGATTGCGTTACTTGCACATGTTATGTGTGCCCGGTGGTATGTGTGTCTGTGTGTGTGTACAGGGTCTATACCCAAAAATCTGTGGCGTTACAGCTCATCCCAGAGGTGATGGATGAGATCCGTAGCATGAACTGTTGCGTGTATGCACCACGTATGTGAACGAGTTGCCACTGGGGAGACAAAGGCGGTCGGGCATGGTGCTGGCCACCTACCCCCTCGTGTGACGTGCCGGCCTTCATAGGTGCTCGTTAACAGCACTTGCCCCTACGGTCTGCTCAGGTTATACGGGGGATCTTTGTCTTTGTGTTGGTTTGTAGGTGTGTGTATGTGTAGCATTTGTCACTTGGCACAGTAGGGAGCACAGGTGACGCATCTGTCCATCTGAGTTAAGCCGTAACACCTGGGGACTGCCCGTTAACCCTCTGACAGCCTTCCACAACTTCACGTGGCCTCTGAGTGCCTCCACCTCGGTGTTGACACGATCGCCGCGGTGACATCACCGTTACTTTGTGACGAATGATGGCTGGGGTTACTTTTGTGGCTTTGTCAGTGTATTTATATCTGTACGTACCAATGTTCGTATTGATTTCCACGTATATGTGTGTATGTATTTGTCATTGTGTTTGTCTCTATATGTGTCCATTGCTATGGATGTTTTTTACGGTGAGAGACGTGAATAGGAACACATGGATTAGAGAGCAAACGCAAGTCAGTCATAGAATTTTGCTGTGAGAAAAGCAAATGTGCTTGGGTCGGACACGTGGTTAGAACGGTTGATGGCTAGTGGTCGACACTAGCAACAGGAGCAGCCGAAGGAAGGAATTCTGCTGAAGCATGCACCGCGAGGATGAGCGATGAGGATCGGCGTATGCGTAGAGCGAGATTAATTGTTGCATTGTCAATGCCTGTGAGAGATAGCGACAGCTTGGTAAGGCTTTCATCCAGCTGTGGATAAATCAAGATTCATGATTACACTTGTACAGTGTCTGTGTATGCCAGCTTCTGTGTTAACAGCTGTTTCCATTTATCAGCGTGGTCACAACAGTATGTTGGTATGTACGTATGTGTATATGAATGCCTGTGTTTATCTCTGTGCATGCAAGTGACTGCACATACGTGTGTATGTATTTGTACACATCCAAATTGCTGCTTCAGTTTTGGTACGCGTGTGTTTGTGTATATGCGTGGGGAGCCGGTAGTGTAGGGGTTAGCGCTACGCTGCGCTATGAACCCGGTGTCCCGAGGTCGATTCCCTCTCACGGCCAACAACAGTGACGATGATTTGAACTGGGCCTCCCCTAGATCGACTCAGCCTCAAGTGAGTACCTGGTGTGGTGTGTAAACATCGCCACTAGGGAGACAAAGGCGACCGGGCGTGGTGTTGGCCACCCACCCCCTTGTGTGACGTGCCGGCTATATGGAGGATCTTTGTCTTTGGTGTGTTTGCGTTTTTTTTTAGTTTTGTATGTAAATGTTGTCTTTGACTAAATTATGCCCCAGAATGCGTCTGATCTTGACATAATTCTGAAGTTAGGCAGAGTTGAGCCTGGATAATCCTTGGATGGGTGATCACAATACATAACAGGTTGTTATGGGTGCTGCGGTATCAAGACTCTCTACCTCGCGTGGTGCGCGGGAGGTCGTGGGTTCCATCCCAAATGACACCTCTATATGTATGGAGTTTAAATAACCTCCACGTGGTTGCATGGATTTTTCTCTGGGTACTCCGCTTTTGACCTCCATATTCAGAAAAATGCGATTTGATTATTTGGCGACTATAAATTCCTACGTATGATGGTGTAAGCCACTTTGCTGAGCTATCATGTATGCCCAGTGTCACCTGAAAAATTGCTAAGAGCTCAGTGGGCTTTTCCTGGTAAATTAAAATAGTTTAGTCACTGTTCTGAGGGGCTAAATGGTGGGTAAATAGAGGGCAGTGCAGAAAAATACATTGTTGTGCTGTACTTCTATGCTCCCCACCTTCACCAACCAGCACGGTGTAGGGAAGCCCTCATCCAGCAGTGAATTGATAATGGCTGCACATGTCTATGTTAAGGGTTTTATATTTATATACGTCGGTATGTTAGTATGCCGGTGTCTTTTGATCCCATCACGTGTGTATTCGTGTGTTTGTGTGTGCTCGGAGAACATCATATTTATTGGCTTTTCTCTAACGCTTTATTGTCATGTCACTTTCCAATGATTTAATTCAGCGCTGTATTTGGGTGCACTGCCCAGGCCTGTGAAGTAAACATTCATCGATAATATAGTTAAACCTTGAATATGCGGATGTCATTGTCTGTGTTCCCATCTGTTTGCATGCCGTCGCGGTCACTCGCATGTGTCTTGTTATACTGTACACGATTAAGTGCGTCTATGTTTGGTAAGTCGGTGTTCCATTCGCGGCTGTTTCTGCGCCTGTGTGCACGCTACGTCATGAATGTTGATGGACCAATTTGCGCCCGTGTGACCACGACATTTTTGTGCGAGAGACGCAAATGCTCCTCAGCAGGCGCCCGCAGGATCCGTCAAGGAAACACCCGCAGAGCCACCGTCCTCTGCACAGGGCCCTTGCATCAGCAGCAGCTGTCATTATATTTTTTACGAAGCTCAGAGGACGAACCGCATTGCTCGCCTGTGAAGGCAAGCGTTGCTTATCTTGTGTTATTTGAAGGACCTCTGTTGTGTGGGTGTGCAAATGCTGCTTTGTGTACCCGTTTTGTGTGTAGCTGCTGTGTGTATCGACTGTGTTCCTGCTGCAGTGTGTATCTGCATATGCTGCTGTGTACGTATGTATCTCGAACTTCTTTCGCACCGTACGTAGCCAACCGTGCTAATCGTAGGTGTATGGTGCCACAGTGGTAAGCGCGCTGCACCACGAACCCGGTGACCCGAGTTGAATTCCCTGCCATGGCTAATATCAGTGCTGAGTTGATATCAGATCCTTTCGTGGGCCTCCGCTGGATCGACTCTGCTTCATGAGAGTACCTGCTGCAGTCTGTAAAATCAGCAATGGGGAGACAAAGGCTGCCAGAGGTGACCCTCCAACCAAAATCAGTGCTTACAAAATCAGTGCTTACAATTAATACTTATCTCAACAGTCTGTAAACGGCTAAACGGGAATCTTAGTTTACAAGTGTGTGTTTGTATGTT